TGCCAGCTGGGTTGCCATACGCAAGGACTGCATCGCAGCGCTTGCCGGCACCATCGAAGCCTACGTAGAATTATACTCCGTCAGCTCCCAAGCATCGCGATCATGGATCGGCCTCCCAACGCGCCATCAGCTCCGCCTTCCTCCTCGCCGTAATTGGCGAATCCAAAAACGACCCGCACATCCTGCAACTCCTCCGCCGGTTAGAAACAGTGATAGCGGAACGCGCATCGTCCGAGGGCGCCTTCACCGCTCCAGCTGCCACTACATCAACCACCACAACCGCAGCCTCAACCACCAACCCATCCAGCAGCGACATGACATCACCGCATCAATCCTTCGGAGCCCCAAAACTCGAACACTCCGAAATCATCAAAGGCACCACTAACATCTCCACCCCATGCTTCGACCCGGTCTCCATCGCCTCCACAGCCCCAGTCCCCGTCTCCGTGCCCGTGCACACGCAAACGCAATGGGCCAAACCACTCACCAAATCACTTCGCGCGCTCCAGAAGCTCAACGCCGTCTTCTGCATACAGAACAAGCAGAACGCATCCCAGGGCCATGGGGGTGCGGGGGCATTGCCGACACCTTCTTCGGCATCCACCCCCAACGTTGGGCAGGGCGGTTTTCCGCAGTCCAGTGCAGGGATGAATCTGGTAGCTACGAAGACGGAGTCGTTACCTCCTCATACGCCTGAGAGCACGACGAGTGGAGAGTGGACATTGCCAAATTTGATGGATCGGGCGGCGGAGTATATTCATCCGCCGTTGTGGGCGTGATAGTGTTCCCTGATATACATACATACATATATCCGTAAACATATATATATATATTATTATTATTTCTTCTAGTACAGTGGGAAAGTCGAAAAATGAATTTGGGGGGAGAACAGTTGTTTGGGCACAAAACGAAAAAAGAATATAGAGTGCAATCGAGACTAGAGGGTGGAGTCGACAGGATGAAAAGGCACTTTGAAGCATGGTTGTTCGGATGGTTGTATATATATATATTGTTAAAAAAAAAGTCGTCTCACCATACATCACGGTTGAAAACATTTTGGTAAAATGCATAAAATGGGGGAAAGGTGGTGGGTGGTGGGGGAGGGGGGAGGGGGTTGCAAGAAATGGACATGGAGAGAGCGATTATATACATAAATCTACATATTTTCGAAAATGAACAGCATTGAGAGGTTAATTTTTTTTATTACTATTATTATTATTGTCCAATAGCGTTGGAATGGTTCTCCCATTCTTCGATGAACCAGTCTGTCTGAATTTCTTCTTTTACCGAGCTAGATTGGATGACATTGACGTATTCCCTATGCTGTTAGTGGACATACGGCTGATACCAAAGAGGTATGTGCCTGCAAAGAAGTATGCGTATACATGCTGTACATACATACTTCAGGGGGTACAATCAAAAGCCGTCTGATATGGCAAGAATGACACTTGTATCTGGGTCATAGCATTTACTTATGATAGGGGGATAGATCCATGAGTGAAAAGGGGAGGGAAAACATATTTAAGATCAGAGAGAGATGTTTATTGGAGAGGGAGAGAACATACATGCATATATATATGTACAAACATAGAAAAGGGGGTTTGCTCTCTTTTAAACAAAAAAGGGGCCCCGACCAACCTTTCTGAAATTTATATACGTACATATATGCAAGGTTTGTGTAGTGTTGTGTAATGTTTTCTCCTTTCTCTTTCATTTCTTCCTTTCTCTTCCCCGCCACCTTTAGAATTCCCATCCTAGCTGGAGATATGCCCAGCTGCCCGGCCCGCTTGGTCTCTCAATATTTCCCTTCGTCTTTTTTGTTGCCAACTTTGGATCATTGATATAGTAATTTTATACTTATATACACAAATACCCCTCCCACTACAGAAGCCAAACCCCCAAATCCAACTGAGCCGTCTAAAAACATCTACGTACTTATTAAGAGAGGTAGAATCGAGGGTGCAAAAAAGGGAGAGGAAAGGGGGGGGAGGAATGCTGGCAGGAAGATATGTGGGGAGAGATGTCTGGGAATCGTGGCTCTAGGAAGAGACAGGGAAGGAAAGAAAGAGAGAAAAGAGAAAAACAGCACTCAAGACAAGGACGTCTGTCTATTTCTTCTCCTCGGGATATAACTCCTCCTGAAGAGTTACGCCCAGTTCCTCTCGGAGACCCTTGAGTTCTTCGAGATACATTTCGTATTGACCTTTGTTTTCGACTTTGGCTTTGATGCCTGTTATTTTTATTTTTATTTTTAAATGTTAGTCTGGGCACACATATATATACATATATATCATGCGATTGAAGAGGAAAAGAGGTGGGTGGATACGCACCTTCAAAGATCCGGACGGCAGTGGGGAAGTCGTTGACCCTCCGTGCAGCCTTGAGGGCGGCGGTCATGACGCTTACGGAGGGGACGAGATCGTATGCGAAGGCATTGTTAAGGTTTCGCTGTGGTTTTGAGACGGGTCATTGGCATGTGTTGGGAAACATTTCAATTGAGATTTTTCAATTTAGGCGTGATTGTGGGTAGATAAAAAGGGAGTGCGGAGGCAGTCTATATACCTGAAGTTCGAAGACATCCTGAACGGCATCGAATTCTTTTTCGTACCTGTGCAATTGGGACCGGATCAGTCATGAAGTATATGTGGATACATATACATATACATATATATATCATTTCCCAGCCAAAGTAGATACAAAGAAAAATATATCCCAGCATCCAATTGCATTGGTTGAGCATTGCTATCCCTCCCGACCCGACATACATCGCCATCTCATATCATATCAAATCATATCGTATGCATTCCCCCTCTCCTTCTCCCTCTCCCTCACACACACACACACACACACACACACATACACCACGCAAAGACTAGAACAACTCTTACCTAGCCGAAAACTCCTCAAAGGTTTCCTCCTCATGCGCAGCACTATGCCCAGCGCATCTCGAGGTCGTGCTGAAGCTGCTGACACCGCCAAAGGTGACAATGGCGGGAGCAGCGGTGGAGGCGACTACGGGTGTTGTCGCGGCCCTTGAACGGGCTGAGTAGGACGCTCTGAAAGCACTGACGGGGGCGGTGCGCGAGGCGAGCCGGAAGAGGGTGGTGGAGGACATCATTGGGGCTGGAGGTTGGAGTTGGAATTGGAATTGGGGTGATGGTTGGAAAGTGAAGTTGAAGGAAACGGTGTCGTTGGGGGCAACGACGGCAGCCTACGTCTTAAACTTGGGGTTGGATACGGGGATTGATTGGGATGGGAGGATTGGCTAGAGACTCGAGTGGTGTGAGTTGCGGATGGGCGCTGGAAGGGGTTTAGCGTGGGAGGAGAAGGGTGTGGCTGGCGGTGCTCCGTAGTGTGGCTGTTCTCGATTTCTTCGTCGGAGCACTTACAGAGCATACTGTGAGCTAACACAGACGGATAGGATCCGCGAATCTGCTGCAACTTGGTATATTAATGTCAGCTCTTAGTTACGCTACTACTTCTGGGTGGAATGGTACTTTATGTTTGCCATTACTCCAGCGTCTAATCAGTTTGATGCTCAGTCAAGACCATGCCTTTTTAACCACCGCCCCAAACGACGACCCAACAATAAATATATACCCGGTTCCCCGCCAAGGACACTCATTGCATGTCAAACTCTTTGTCTTCCAAACCTTTTATAATTCCGTCAGATCAAAAACATATCTCTCTCCTCCTGAAAATACATGGAAATATTATTGACATTCATCTATCTCTCAGATAAGTTACTGGACAGATATCCCAGTCCGTGCAAATTTTAAACTATCCCATCTCGATTTATGCTTATTTTCGCTTCCAGGTTCGCTGCGGCAACCTTAGAGGTTGTCAACCAACCACAGCAACATGACATTGTTTCTATCGATCTAAACCGTACCATCACATCAGTTCCTCATTTCATACCCATTTTTTTCATGCTTCTTTTCTACCTCCTCTTCTCTACTCTAAAATTCTCATCAGCCTCAGATCGGTGACCCGCCTAACCCGATCCGAATTAGTGCCGTATTGTATGTATTGTATTTCTGTACTGTACACCCAAGAACTCCGTACAACGTTCTCCTTTCACATGCCCTGATAATACCGGAACCTTTGGTCCCCTCTCTGCTTCTATCGGCCTTGCCGCTCAATACGGCTAAATACCCCATAACTGCTCAACCATACCGTACGGTACCGTACAGCAACCCCAATTTCCTGCCTGATCCTCGTCATTTTTTTTCTTGCTCGTCTTTTTGTTTTCTCTTCCTCTTCTCGTTCTTCTCCCAACTGCCAACCTCTCGTCCTTCAACGCTTCAATCTCTCTCCTCTTGGAGTTTTGCTGTCTTCTTCTTCTTCTTCTTCTTCTTCTTCTTCCTCCTCCTCCTTCTTCTTCTTCTTCTCCTCTTTCTTCCTCCTCGTCCTCTTTTTGTGCGCCACCTGCATATCCTCCCCGTCTTTCTTCCTCCTTTCCTTTCTCTCTTCTTGTCACTCCTTAGTCGACCCATCCCTGGCTAGTTACGTTTTATTATTTATATATATATATACTCTTTTTTTTGGCTGCTCCCACGCAGATCGCTTCGATTATTTGGGATATCCATAACTTGGTGCGCTATTCAATAAAAAAAAACCTATATTAATTCCAACCATTTCCTTCTTCAATCCCATCTGCGAGTCATCATTTTTGGTCCCAATTGTACGAATATATGTGTCTCCGCCGGCCTCACCCCTTGATTCCTCCTCATTAATTCACGGCATCATTCAACTCTCAATTATTCTCGATTCCCCCTCCAAAAATCTCAGTCAATCGATCATGTTTGATCTCAGCGCCATCCCCCTCGCATCCATCGACCGCCCCTTTGGCATTGAACTATGGCCCCTCTTCTCCAAAGCCTACACGGCTATCGCAGGCTTCTCGCCAGATAAGTTCACCTTCAAACAATACCAGACACCCATGTCGACTCTAAACGAAACTCTCATCGGTCTCGCATCCTACTATGTTATCGTCTTCGGCGGCCGCGAGATCATGAGAAACCGTCCCGCTATGAAGTTGAAGGGTATTTTCCTCATACACAATCTCTTCCTGACGATGATTAGCGGGACACTGCTGGCGCTGTTTATTGAACAGCTGCTACCGACATTGTGGAGGAAGGGTATCTTTTTCGCGATATGCAATCATGACGGGGGATGGACTCATCCCTTGGTGGTCTTGTACTATGTATGTGCACCGTCTTTATTTGTTAATATCCCTACACATTTCCGTCTCTCTCCATTGGCTATATATTTCCGTTTTTCTTCGCGTAATATGTGTTTTATTTTGTGCATGTTTTCCAAAATCTATTATACTTCCCCACCGCTAACATTCTCGACGACATATAGTTGAACTACCTCACTAAATACCTCGAGCTGCTAGACACCGTCTTCTTGGTCCTCAAGAAGAAACCCCTCACTTTCCTCCATACCTACCATCATGGCGCCACAGCTCTCCTCTGTTACACCCAACTCATCGGCCACACCGCTGTCTCATGGGTCCCCATCACCCTCAACCTCCTGGTCCATGTCGTCATGTACTGGTACTATTTCCAGAGTGCCCGTGGCGTCCGCATCTGGTGGAAGCAATGGGTTACAATCCTCCAGATCGTGCAGTTTGTCATTGACTTGGGTAAGCACACTTACTCCTATCATTTCCATTGCTTCCCTCCCCCCTCATTTTCCAAATCCTAAAAAACCAAACCCACCCCCATTCTAACCTCGCTTGCCTACTTATAGTCTTCGTCTATTTCGCCTCATACACCTATTTCACCTCCACCTACTTTCCCCACCTGCCCAACGCAGGCGGCTGCGCCGGTGAAGAATTCGCCGCTATCTCCGGCCTAATCATACTCAGTTCCTATCTTCTCCTCTTCATCTCCTTCTACTTTGCCACATACAAGAAAGCAGCCAAGTCCGGCCGCCCGCGCAGAAACACCGGCAAGCAGGCCGTCATCGATATGCGGAACTTGGAAATCCCATCCGTTGGTGGAAAGGCTACCACTGCTGCTGCTGCGACTACCAATGGCCATGTGCATACGAATGGCTCGGCGGTTTCCTCTGCCCGATCCAATGGACCTGTTACGCGGTCAAGAAAAGCATAAAATATCTGAATAGCGAGACACAAAATGAAGAGGGAGAGAGGATGATGCTCTTTTTTTAAGTTGCATCCTCGCCAAATGAACTCGGACAGAGTGTTATACGTGTTGCTTTTCTTTTTTTCCCTTCGAAAACACTTGTTATATTTAACCTATCTATCTGTTACCTATTTTTTCCCCCCCCTTTTTGGCATTGGATCTGGGAACGAAACGATCGAACCATTCAGAAAATCGAAAATTAATTAATCAAAAATTCTTTCTTGGTGATTTGCATGTGCACTTTTTGTTTTACCACGTTCTATTTCTTTTAAAAAGGGTTCTATATTTTCTTTTTTTTTTTTTTTGGATCTTTTGGTGGCCGCTACGCCTGCCAGCTGGATTTCATAATGAGGTCATAAAATACAACCCTCACGCGCACGCGCAATCATGTTATCTTACGGACCCTCCTACCTACAGACGCCTTCCTTCCTTAACCCCCGGTTTTCTCCATTCTTTATTCTATGCCAACTATAACAAGCCTCATTCAACGATTCAATTCGATTCCACCAGAACAAGAATACGTTCCTCACGGCTCGGTTTTACACAAAAGTTAAAAAGATGTGGAAATGGTTTAAAGAGAAAATGGAAAAATTGGCACTATCTGTCAGCCATAGACAGACGCCATGTACATATGGATGATGTGGTGACGAATGGGATGAGGATATGGTGTTATTTTGTTCGTGGAAGTTTTGGGGGGCGGAGGAGGGATGAAATGCGATATACCTCCGCCTCCCTGGGACCCGTCCCCTCGCCAATTATCACATCCCATGACTCCAGTCCCGATGTGAATTCCGGTCCGGTTTTGTCAGTCTCTTGCTCGTCGAAATTTTCAACTTTCGTTGATGTTTCTGGTGGCAAAGTTATCCTTATTTAGGACGCTTTCGTGGATTTCCTCTCTTTATATTAAGTTGCAAATGTTCTATATTCTACCATTCCTTCTCTTTCGTTTTACTACCTTCCTTTGACCTTTCATGTCTATATAGGATAGATTCCTCTCTATTTCCCTTCTTACAATATTTCGGTATTTACGTGGGCAACTCTTCTTTTCGTACTGGTCTTCAATCTCTCTCTCTTCTTTCTTTCTTTCTTTCTTTCTTTCATATCTTTTTCTCTTTCCCTATCCCAATTTCTTGCCATATTTACATCCGTTATTCTACTTATTTCTTTGTTTCTCTCTTGATGTTTACCATTTTATATAATATTTTCGTGTATATTCGATTCTCTTTTTTAGGGTACGATAAAGCCAGAAACAGGATGCGGGGTTGGGTTTTCATTTTCTTTTTTGAACGGGAGTCGGAGACTGGAGTGAAGGCTGCGATATGTATGTACCATACTGTATACCTGGAAATGTATTGTACTTAATCTATGCAAGAGCTTAATGAGGAGGAAGGGGGAGAAGAAAGTGAATGTTTTCATTTTTTTTTTTTTTCACCCTCTTTTTTCTGCCTCTTGATGTTATATATACATAGGGATTTTCAAGGGAATATAACGTCATATATATCCTTGCATTCTCCTGCATATTTACGTGAATGGGTATATGTACATACTCTGTCTTTGTTTGGATTTCATGACTGTGTGCGCAATGGCTATCTTAATATTCAACTCAAGGGGCTGGAATTCGATTTACGCATTGTCTCCTTAGCGGGCGGCCGGAGCCCAATGTGAGGGGTCGGAGGGGGAGTGGGGACAGAAATCACCGTTTATCCATGAGAGAACGGTACATGTCTTCATTGGCGGATTTATTCGCTACCGAACCCTCTCTGTCTCTGTCTGAATTTAGGTCCTTCGATCTAAAATATACTTCGCCTCTCTGTCCACCAACAGCACCATCCATCGTACCATCTCAGCCTCGCCCCTAATCCCGAATTCAACAAACTCTCGATTCTCTACCTTAAAACATCCCACAACCTCCTTAAATAACCTATCGCGCCTTTCATTTTCATTTCGTGTCTGTATAAATCCCCTATCTACCCTCCAGCTCCTCCGTCTCCCATCGAACCCCTGCTCGCTCATCTCGCGCATATCATGTGCGTTTGTATGCCTTTGTGGAAGTTGTTTTAGGTTCCAATCTTGCTCTTGGGATAATTATGTTCTCCCGTTACAGGGACGGGTAGGTTTTACGTCCATAGGAATGTATGCGGATGAGGATCACATAACAGTGCTGAAGGGGGGTTGGAGGGAGGATTGGGAGGAAAACAGTAAGCACATACCAGTCTCATAGTTGGACGATATACATCTGAGAGAAGGGGATAGTTTAGCTGTTAGATAGAGGGGACCCGATTAATTGCTAGGGTCTGGCGGCAGCGACTCATAGGAAGCAAAGTTACAACTTATTCATCCACCGAATCACAAGCTGATGCGATATATATGACATTTATTCGCCCGAATATAATATAGACCAGGGCAGCCATAATAATGGCGTCAGTAGAGCAGCGGCCAAATCCGATTATATAGGACTCCTTGACGATACATAGCGGGTTTGTCATGGCGGAGATTGTTGGGCAGTTAGCTGCGGTGTTGTTCTTGTCCCCTATGGCCCAAGCCCCTCACCGATCTCAGTCAAGAAATCGCGAATCCTGGCTCTACAGGAGGAACACAGTGAAGAAAGAAATTTACTTCAGTTGGATATATGGTTTTACGCTTTCGGGAGTTTCAGAAAACGGGACAACCCATTATATAATAAGTTACGTACGTCATTGTAACCAGAAGGCTGTAAGTGGCCCTTGTTCCGCACTGGAAAAGATGAAAAAAGCTGGTTCCATCAAGCAATCTAAGTGAAAGAAATTTGTATGATCGATGCCATCTTACTGGGTTGTCGTTGAACCCTTGAAGGAACATTTAATGACAAGGTTGCAGCCCTTACCGCGTGTGATCTTGGACGCTGATGAAACGGGTACCGTAACAGCTTCAGGAATAGTGAAAGATCACGTCAGAAGAAGGGGGGAATTGATCATTTAATATATTGCTCTCCATCTTTGGGATTGGGAGGGGTAGCACATTTTCAACCCATCGAATCGCAGCGTATTCTCATCACACACCGGAGCATGTGAAACGCGATTCACAGATATCCCAAGGTCATTTGCTCATCCGCTCGGATAGCTGGTAAGGTGACGAATATGGTCTACCCGCGACGGGAAGGGAGTACGTCGATATTTTCTCAACAAACATGGCTGGAAGCTGAGTGTCGTCGGTGTCGGTTTGGTCAGTTCGAGAGTCTGCCGGAAATTAGCACCTTGGAGGTAAAAAATCGGAAGATCTGCAGCCACATCGGACTTTTGAATCATATATTGCTGTGCCCTGATAAACCCCACCGAAGCCGATCGCAGTGGACGTGGCACAGCCAGTTGCGAAGAAAAGGTGCCCTGTTGTCCGACATGGACTAAACAGTCGCTGGGGCGAATGAGAAAGCAGTGGGCTGGCCTTGCACATCCAGCAAGGGGCTTCCACTAACTTGCTAACCACCCATGGGCAATGTATGGATGGCGGACTCCGAACAGGAATGTCCCTTTGAGGCCTGACACTACTATCACGTCGGTTGTAGGCTTGTAGCATGCCTGGGACAAGACAAGAATTTGTTGATCCCTCCGTTTTGGCGGCGTCAAGTTAAGGGACAGTTGAGGCTTTGCCCTTGATCGTCTCTACCCATGAACTAAACTCGTCGATTCGTCCGATGGGTCAGCCAGCCCATAAGAATCACTTGCGTCCCCACATTTTCCTCGATTGTTGGCAGAATAAGCCAGAAAAGAAGTGTGTTATATAGCAGAGTTTGACTGGAGACACGACAATCTGGCTATGATTATCGCAAGCATGCCCCTACATGGATAGGGATTCTTATTATTTAACTAGTTGTTGGTGCTGTTTGGCTGCGTTGGAGTTGGGTTGTCTGGCGACTCGGGCAAGGCTGCTAGATGCATGCATTGCTTAATTTATGCACAAAACAGGGGATTTCGATATTATCTGTAACCTGTAAGACCAAGACTCAACTATTTTTTGTGCGAAATAACTGCGGGCCGGTGCAAGGAAATCTTTTGCACTGCTAACTTAATGCTGACTTCCCGTGTGAACCGAGCCTATATTCACAAGTTGAACTCCGACGATGAGTTCGATTCGGCACGCTGCCCCCTCCACCCCTGGTCTAAACTGGCGTCGTCGGAATGTCTCATCTTCGAAGCCATCTGCAGCCCGGCAGTCTTTTCATTGGCGGCTCGTGGGGCGGATGACTTGGGTTAGGGACAGGTCCCTTGCGGCTTGGCTGGCGAGAAGCGTCTTTTTGGCTGCCCGCACGTCCGGTTCCCACTACGCTCGGGGTCAATGATGATGGTTTGGCAATACCAACCTCCAACTCCAGCTATTTTGCCATGCAATTCCTAACTTATTTGGTAGACAGTCCCGCGGTGTCTGGGATGCTAACTCCTCCTTCTGCCCAGCCTTCTTACCCAGGCAGGACGTGGTCCAATCAGTATCTTGTTTTTACAGCCCTCCTCAAGCCAACCGAATCATGAACTGGAGAGCAGCTACTGGTGCTTCGTGCATCCCATACCAAGCAGAATAGTAAATGCAACTTATTCCAAGCAGGATGATGTCCCTGCTCCCTACGGAGAGGGGGAGACGAGTTCTTGACCGATTTCAGGGATATATTATCCCCTGACCCACGCCCTGCGCTTCCCGCTGTTTGGGATCTGCGGATTTGTGCAGGGCTTGACTCCTCATACACGCCCTGAACAGGGTCCTCTTATCTGATACAATCCCTTTGTGTTTGGGTTTCCTTCCTTTACAACCCAGACATGGTCGTCGGTCCCTAGCGATAGAGCAAGTTTGGCTCTGTGCCTCCGGGGCTTGTTGCGTGGATTCGTTTATGAAGCTCCTCCCGCCCAGATGATCTTGAGCGGCTATCTGGTGAGCTTCCACCTTGAACTTGAATTGCAATCAGTTTTGCCTGATGCTAACTTGATATCAGTATATCCCTTTTTTTTTTTGTTCCGGTGATTACCCTCAACTTGGTTATTTTTATTTGTCGTGCCGTTATCTATCTGCCTATATAATTTTCCGTTCATTTTCATCAGTTATCTTATCCCCGCGTCGTATTCCAGATTAACCTGTCCTTAACTGGAGGACCAAGCTTCGATACACCCATGGGTTCCGTCACTGAAGGGGCGTTCAGTTCAGCTGAGCTTTATGAGAAATTCGGTAGTCGGAGACTTTCAATGGACGTTGCCGATATTGGGACCAATATAAAACCGAGATACGAATCCGAGGAAGAGGAAGTATCGGAGGCAGAAGTGTCTGAGCGGACGGAATATCTTTTCTCTCCTATAGAGAATGATAGTGATACTGGGGTTTCTGAATTCGAAGAAGTGGGCTTTGATTCACCCCAAAGCTCGATTGCCAACAAGAATTATGCATCGGAGATTACGTTTTCATTGGAAATTCCGATCCCACCTTTCACAGTTACAGATATTTCAGGGTCGAGGTCAACCAGCACCGCTAACCGTGATAGTTGCATCACCTTGATGCCTCCTCTCAAATCACACGCAACCGAGACCGCTTCGATAAGTTCTCCCAAATCTATATCAGCTTCTCCAACGTTATTTCCGGTTGCAGAACCTATATTCGTATCGAACCATGTCACGGAAGAGGAAGCTATGCAATACTTTCAATCCTTTTGCTCTGAGGTAGTGCCCTCAGACGAGGAGTGTTCTGCCGATACATGTTTTCATGTTGCAACCCCAATATCCTTCCATGTACCAGAGAGCAAACCCCATTTGATTTCCATCCAAGCGCAATCTCATCCACCTTCCATTGCACAAAACACACCGAGACAAAGGAAGAGGAATTCTCCTCCTGTCACTGGTGAGGTCTCTAGCGAAAGCAGCCCCGGTAGTAATGTCTCCTTGAAAAATGGCATCTCCAGTTTGAGGATGGGAAAACAGGATAAGAAACGTGACTCTTCTCTCCCGGTTTCGGAGCCCGCATCTTTTATTAAAGCGAAATTCTCGGATGCCTCTGTATCTGCACTTTCTGACCTCAACATGCGTGGAAGAAATAGCCACTTCTTCGGTTCCGAATCCGAACTTTCTTCCCCTGCCTCCCGGAGCAAATCGCGAGACGTAAAACCTTTGCTCCTTCAGAAACATATTCTCCTGCCATCACCTCATATCTTGGAACGGAACCCTTCCAAACAGCGGCACCAGACAATTGAGAATTATGTAGCAGAACGAGTTAATTCTGAGAGGAGTAGCAAAGGGACTGAGGATAGGAAATCCCGGAAGATCACCAGGAAGACCAATCCGCCTCCCGTCCCACAACTAACGGGAATAGCAATCTCTTCAGATGTTCCATCCCCTCCTTCGGGCACGGTGTCTCTCCACCGCCCCGGTTCCATACAGCTACAGAATCAACAACTCATGTCCAAAACATCAATCTCGGAAAAAGGAACATATAGCCATTACCACAACAGTGTAAAAATCAACATCAATCCATCGCCACCACTCATCAATGCTGCGGACAGTTCTTCAAACTTCCCTTTCCCGGACGTATTCAATTCGAATTTGCTACATCCAACATCAAAAAGAAGCGGTTTCCATGAAAAAACCCACTCAATCAACAGTCTAGCCAGCGTTAACAGCATGCCCAACTATCCCTCATCTGACAACTCCTCTCCCCATTCCCCAGCACACCGCTATAGACAGCGATTCTACCCAACGGACCCATTACGGTCTGAACGACCCCAATCACGCGAGAGCATCAATTCAAGTCTGAAGCCTCATCGTCGCAGCGCTTACACCTACATACCGCGTGGGAGCATGTCCACCACGAATCTAAGCAGTATGTCCTTCGTCTCGACCTCATCCTCGAGACCAAGCTCTCGGTCTGATGCCAACAGCTTGAACTGGAACTATAACACTGGCACCTGGAGCCCATCAGGGAACTCGAGAATGAATACAGACTGCGCTATCAACACCGCCCGCCCAAGGAGTACTACTATCAAGCGTTTATATGAAACGGGTGAAACCGTCTCTCGTGCGGGAACTAAGGCTATTACTGGCCTAGGAGCTATGCTGCGAAAAAAGAGCGGTACACCTGGTGATGAGCGGTGGAGTTCCAATAGATTTATTTAAATGGATACGATACATATAGCGAGCGTGACATTGGATATGGGCTCTCTTCTGCTGGAAGCGCCATGGAGGTTAGCATTTGAGGACATTCACGTCTGGTGTTTTGTCATTCTACGTCCTTCCATCCGGGGTGATCGGTGGGGAGGCCTCCGCTTTCACACCTCTTACGTTTCGTCGCCTTTAAACGACCTCCGATTTCATTTATCAGCATTACTTTCCATCTTTCAGTATAACTTGGCGATCCCTAGTTCACTTCCATTACCTTTTCTATCATATATATTCGAGGACCATCGTTTTTGTCGCAGTGCAGGCCTGGTATTCCTACCGTATCCAACCCTCATGGACAACACATAAATTCATGTGCCAAATTCACAACCCCTTACGAAAATAGCGTATTAATTTCATTTCATAATCCAGTTTCCTTTTGACTGCTTGATACCCGATGCCGCTGTGTTTGGGTTAGTTCCGTTCTTTCACTGCCTTTTTGTTCACTTCTCCGTGTGTATCTACCAAGTGGCGTTTGTCTGTTATTGGCTGTTTTGTTTTATTTTTGTTTACTTGGTGAATTTTTATTTCTTTGGCTTTAAAGCCTGATTGTAAGTTACACGATTTTGAGGTTGAAAGTTCCTGCTAATAATCCTGTTTTGAAATGTGCTCCATGGTTTCTGGTCCTAGAGATGAAGACAAGTAGATGATGTGTCTGAATTTTGACGTCGATAGGAGAACCACAAGTGCTTAGTCATGCCATGCCCCGAGATTGTTGCGCCTACATTGAGATACGCTCAACTCGACTTTTAAAAATATTCAGCCCAGTCTCCGTGTAAAGTGTTCCAGGCCACTTCTGGACCATTAGTTTCCTGTGGATTTGATATGGCTATTCTTTTCCCGGCGGGTTCCCCACACAAAGTGAACTTACCAGAAAACTCTGACTTGGGGAAACACGGTTCGACAGGGCTTCAGGCTGCGCATCTGTGCTTGTCATTTCTGAACATCATTGACTCTACTCTCCCATACGTAGTTACCTGCCCACTTAAAATGACAATCTCGATGGGGACAAAGCCTTTCATGTGCCTATCTTCGAATCAAACGTACAACTACACCATTTGAGATAAATATGTCAAAGCACACTGAATCGATTCCAGCCTCAAGAAGCAAAGTGTCGATCTTTACAACCTATATTACCGGTTATGCCGCGACGGCAATTTCAAGCATTAATACTAATGCATCATATCTGATCAATCGAACTATGAAAGAGTAGGAGAAACCGAAAATAAAAGGGGTACATTGGAAAATTGGATGAACGGGAGGGGGTTAGAGGGAAACGAAAAGAACCCGTAAAGAAATACACATATGCTACCTCTGGCTTTCTATGACTTCCAGAATACACTCATCGCCTTCGAACTTTGGCTAAGTCTAGCCGATTCCCCAAACACAGGGACCAAACACAGCGACTTCGGCAGCTCTGAACCTCCATGCATAATATCCTTCTCGTCCCACGGAGACCACTCTGACTGCTCGCCGGATTCTCTATTTTGCAGTGTCAAGCAAAGTGGGGAGCGGACCTGGATGATTTGGTGCGAATACGTGTCTATTAGGCTGCTTGGTGTTATGTCATTTTCGTTTTGATTCTCACATACACGAATTTTCGAGAGACAGTACGTCCGGAAGAGATGTGAGACTCTAGCGCATGTGAGGAAAGTGGCGTTATCAGTGAAGTCGAGAATCATGTAGTAGAGTTCGCTTGGCAGGCAGCCTTGGGTGTCTGGGCCATGGGGTTTCAGATGGCGGAGTGTGGCAGTGGTGAAAAAATTTGATAAGGCTGTGAAGCTTTCCTTGACACTGAATACCTGTTCAGGCGGTAATGGTTGTGGAGGAATGGCAGGTGAATACGTCGAAGTTATCCGGAGGTCGACCAACGAGCTGCTGGGGGATGGCTCCGGCGAAGAACCGTTTGGCTTAGGGCAGGTCTCAAATAACTTGAGTGGCTCTGTATGTTTCACTACGGGAATCTCATTGTCAATTTCCACATCCAGAAGCACAACTGTTGACAGGGAAATCAAAACGGCTTGAAAAGGAAGATTGCCCTGTTCCAGGCCAAAATTGACTGCCTTGTCAATATATATGTGTATTCGTTCCGGAATATCCGGAACCAGGCTGACTAGCACGTTGTCAAACCAATACAGTGTTCCTTCGGGGGCGGAACCCGGAGCGTGGCCTGCTAAATGGTATCCAAAGTTCAGCTCCGAGGGCCAAGGGGATCCGTATTGCCTTCCGCAGCAAGACGGTAAATCTTCAATCCGGAAGGAAAGTCGCCCAGATGCAAAAGATATGATTGCGTATGCAAGCTCGCGAAATATAAATTCATCCGGAGACCATCTGAAATAATCTTGATTCAACTGTTCGGAATACGCGATTTGGAAGTTGGAAAATGCCAGGTCATAAAAGTTCTGGTGCAGGCGGGAATTGGAGGCCAGCCACCTGTTTGCTGAAAGTGGTATTGTTGAGAAACTCGGCTCATAGGTGTCAAGGTCGCTTTCCGATTCACCCAGCACTAGGGATGAGAGCGGGATGGAGTGATTTGCCGCGTTGTGCAGAAGCGACCACAGGAGGGAGGGATTGGAAGGAGTAGAAGAGGATGCAGCGGTGTCAGGTGGCAAATCGCGCAGGCTGAAGTGGATTTGGGGCGAGATAGATAATAATTGCAAGTCAAGGTCAATTTGGAAGAATGGAATATGGCTCGGATATTTCGGTGCCAGTGTCGACGGTAGGTTACGCAGTTCAGCCTCTCTCAATTTCTGCGTTACATACTCGCGACTATGAGTCCGAGCATTATCCAATGTGAACACTGAGTCTTCAAGTGATTTCTCTTTGGCAGCATATTGCTGGCGCTTTCTTTTTAGCCACACTACATATTGAATCGATTCGTTTCATGTCAGCCCTGTGACTTTTTAAGACTCTAGCTCTGGCTGGAGGAGTACTGGCTTATAACCTACGAATATACTCCACATTGTCTGCAGGTATGGTGGAAAGGAGCTCTGAAATTGCATCAGAATTTGGTTGAAGCAGTTGTGAGTAGTATTTCCCTCGATATCGGACGAGTTGAATCCCCATCCGGGAACGAGTTTGAGCTGCGACTAGGGACATGGTCAGCAGCGGGGTTGTCCGTATTGATAGATTTGGCTCTTGATATCGGCCTAGACCTCTAATGGCCTATAATGGCTGGCAGGAGCAGTGGAAATGAGATAATAGAAGCACTATTTGATCTCAGGAGAAAGGTCAAACTAACACTAGAAGTTTTCGAGAAGAATGGGCTCGTCGTCCTTGGAATTTCCATGAAGCAGCGGGAAAGGGTGCAACTAGGCTGGAATCCAAACACAAGGCAGCCTTGGTTGTCCGCATCATAATTGGACGCCCCAGATTGGGCCAGGGCCGCTTGGTTGCCTGATGACTGAGCAGTGTGTTGTCTGATCACAGACTCCGATTATTTAGAGCATTAACAGGGTGTTGCGTTGATCTGACTCTATAATTCAGCAAATGATATTCTTAGTCTTGAATTTAAGGGAAGATGATGTCAAACCCGGCTTCATCTCAACGTTGATACTGTGTGAAGACAGTATTCACTGATGTGATATTGATGCAATTCACTCCCTTCATCACTTTGAGTGTGTCTCATCACTATGGGTAAGTATGTTTATTTTACCCATTTACTAATTGGAGGTTTCTTATGATGATCTTGAAGACGGAGTATCTTCGCCATTTAATCATCGTGAAGGTTTATCAAAAAAAAAGTATTGACTTACACTAAAACCATGCTAAATCAAAACTGGAATAGTGGACTCATTCACGCCTGGAATTTAGGCATGACTTTAGGAGGCTCAGGCCCTTACCAAATTATAACTTTAGGTTAAAATATGCTGAATCTTAACTAAACACTTTAACTACCAATAGCGGTCCGACGCATAATTTTTAGTTAAGTGGTTGATTTTGCATTTTTAGCAAGTCTCCTCCAGGGACTCCGTAAAAACAATAGTTTGGGGAATTAAGATGATTCTGCTCCGTAACTCACAAGGCACAAAAATCATCAGACAGAAATTTTCTCAATTGGCCCAGCAATGGACAGTTATTAACTAATTTTCAATGTAAGCAATGCTGGCTTATTTAATCAGCTTGAAAGAGGTGGTTTTAATATGAGGCCATGTTTTGGTAACCACAGTCAACTCTGTCACCCATTCTAAAATAAACGGTCTACACACTCTGCAATGCATCATCGATACATCTATCTCGATTCAACCTCCGCCCTCAACACCAGGCTTACGGGTAAGGATCAAGGTTGGTTAAGGGTAAGGGCCTGACAAATATGATGGGGCGCGGTATGGATCCCTGAATGGCATCTGGGCCAGTGTGGGAATTCTGGTTCATAAAACAGCCGGAATACTTTTCATCCCGGTTCAACAAGCCCAGACTTTGAGTGGCTAATAGAGAGAGACATTCTCTGTTTATTCGATGAATACCCGGGCTCCGGTAGTTACTTTGGCTCAATTAAGTTTTGCGCTAAAACATTCTTATTTTGATCTCATTTGATTCTCAACCTTCTGGATCACTTTGTGCGAGACAGAAATCAAGTGCTGCATCCCGGGGTTACTCTGATGCTTTCTCAAGGACCCTGGGAATTTAAAAAAGTTTTCTCATAATACGCAGAGATCACAGACTGTCTTGAAGAAGAGAATGAATGTATTAGTTAACAACAATAGTATGACTAACCTGTACAGCTGTTATTATTCTCCAAAAGAAATGAAAAAGTGAGCCCAAAGTTCATGAGAATGATCTACGGAGCATGTACGGAGCGCAATACGGCGCGAATGCAATTTACTCTCGGTTTGAAGATATGCAATGCACAGTCTGCTAATCTGACATATCATCAACCCCTTGGAAAAGGGTTCATAGTTCCATGGTTCCAGGTGGATCCTGGAGCTTGCACCATACAAAGTTTTGCTTTGTCACAGCGTTGCTTATGAATAATTGATGGGAGTTTGAAAGGGGACCTCGAGCCTTTCTCTATAAATTCATATCAATTCTTAAAGTCTGCCTCCTTCACGTCGGAATAATTTAATTTAATTTCTTTTCTTTTTCACTCGTTTTTCACTCTCGTTCCCCGATCCATCCATTGCCTCATCTTCACCTCAAGTCTCCCGCTCCGATGACACACACAAAAAGAGTCGTCATAGTTGGTGGCTCCTGGGCAGGAATTAAAACCGCGCATGCCATCCTGAAGAGAATCCCAAACGCACAAGTCAAACTCATAAACCCCTCAGCAGTTCACTTCTTCAACGTCGCCGCTCCTCGCATCTTAGCAAAGCCTAAAGCATTTGCACCAGAAAGGTATCTGTCCTCCATTCCGGAGTTGTTCAAGAAGTACGATACCGAGCTTTTCTCGTTCGTCCATGGAGTTGCGAGGTCGATAAATGTGGATGACAAGACAGTCACTGTCGATGCTGTCGGAGCTGAGGACGACGAGTTAAGGGACCTGGTCATTCCGTTCGATTATCTTGTTATAGCATCTGGAAGTACTTCCAAGGCAACCTTGGGTCAAGATAGCATTCTAGCACCGTTTAAAGCAACGGCATCGGATGACCTCCAACATGCGATTGAGCAGGTGCAGGTGACTTTGTCAGAAGCCAAGACGGTCGTCATTGGAGGAGCTGGCGCTGTTGGTGTCGAATTTGCTGGGGAATTGGCGGAGGCTTTCCAAAGCAAACAGGATACATCGATAACCCTCCTGACACGCACCGATCGAATTCTGCCTGGCCTAAAGCCCAGTGCTAGTCACAATGCGTACGACATTCTCTCCAAACTGGGTGTCAAAGTCCGCACTTCTGTCACGGTTGCTGGCGCTTCACAAGATCCGACCTCCAAGAAATGGAATATCACATTAGAAGATGGCGAAATCCTCACCGCAGACGCATATGTCTCGACCACAGGTGTCATTCCCAACAACAGCTTCATACCCTCAGAACTGCAAGACAAGGATGGATGGGTTCCCGTTGATGCTGAATTCCGCGTCCAAAGACAAGGCGCAATGAACAAGGAAAAACTGCCGATCTACGCCGTTGGCGATATAACTTCCTACGTAGACCGTCTCTTGAGCAGGATTGAAGGACAAGTCAGTGTTTTGGTCGCCAATCTCAAAGCTGATATCGAGGATTCGAAGGGTAAGAGGCCGCAGTATTCGAGCAAGAAAATGACGGTTTTGGTTGCGCCAATTGGTTCAAGGACAGGAACGGGTCAGATTTGGTTGCTTGTTCTATGGGGATGGCTTGTCTGGTTGATAAAGGGGAGAGACTATTTTCTTTCCATGTCTGATTCCTTGCTTAGGAAGTGATTGTTGACTTTTTTCACCATTCCAAGTGCTTAAACGGAATATACATTTTCCCCCCATCCGGCTTCTTGTCCTCGGTCAATATCCTGGCGTTTATACAGCAGTGCTTATTGTTTCTTCGGCTGGTTGGGTATAATCATGGTTGTTATTAAAGCGCTTCTCTCTTCATACATCTCCCCCCTTTCCAATACTATCACTATAATAGAATTCCGAATTTACATGGGATCTCAATTGTGTTTGCTTCAAAACCCTCGAACCCTTTTTACTTGCTCCCAACCACAAAGTAAACAGATATGTACAATACGTCATCCACTAATATACGATGCTAAAACAACATTGATATATCACCCTCCCATTTCATTAAATCCCCAAATCAGAGTTTTCCCCCCTATATAAGCATGGAAACATTAAAGAAGAGAAAGGAGGAAATCAGAGAACCATCCCCCTTTATTCAACCCAACGAGTGACTCCCAACCATCTTAACTTACCTCACACAACATCCGTCTCTTAACGTTTATATCTGCTGTGCAATCCTATCCACAGTCCACACTGGAAGCGGGCGTACGACATAACATATATCTTCAGCGCCCCTGCTACCCCTTGTGTGACAATAACCAGCAAAATTTTATTCACTCGTCCGCGACGTAGCATTGACCAACTCGAGTTCTGTACATCCATATCGGTACACGACTATAGACAGTGAGTGCCATCTATGCCAGCAGATATCCGTGGAGGGAAATGGATGGTGGGCATGGCAGACTTAAAACAGAGGTGCCAATACTAGGCGTCTGAGAGCTTGTTGCGATGGTATGTAGCTGGTTGCACTGTCGATGCTCGTCCCTTTTCCTATATTGTTTCTTGATAAATGGTTATGGAAATGTGGGTAGGGAGGACAGTCCAATTTCAAAAAAGGATGATTCACTTCAATGCATGATGTTGACATTTAAATAAATGTAAGCATATGTAATTCATCGAGAACCCGCCACCTCCGTGTCCTCCCCGATTTCGGGGAAATGAGACCTTACAAAAGGATTGAACTTTTCGTGCTCCATATTTACATATCCGTATTGTCGTGTGCATCTAAGTTTCCTGGTGAGGCTAGCTATTATCCCAAAGGAAAGGACTTTTATATTAATTTGAATAGGCAAATTTCAGTGATGTCAAGTGCATCATTGTACATATCTATTTTTATTCAATTTTTCTTTTCAACTAGATTCCGGTGTTCTAGACTATAGTTTGATTATATATATGTTTGTTAAATATATCCCAAAAATCCGACATTGGATATTCGTTCCCGTTCTGCAAAGCTGTGGCACAGGCAACACAACCCACTACTCCTACTTGTCCTCCACCGCCACCAACCCACAACCAAAGTGGGAACGGAATAAGGGAAGTGGAAGCAATATAACAGCTTTCTATCTAGTTTTAGCCAGTCCCTTCACCAATCATACCATCGCATACCACGAAGTAAATAATACAACTTAAGAAACAAGAAAGGCAAGACACGCGGTGGCGATCATGCGTTGTAAAGGCTGGGAAAACACTGTACCACGTCGTGCCACATCTCTGTTCAAAAATTTAACCTGAATCCGGATCTGAACGAGAGGTAGCGGTTGTCGATCTTGTCACTCCAGGGCTCTGAAGTTTGTGCTCCAGAGCTCTTTTATCCTCATCGGTTGCATCTACAACGCCAACTGCAACTTCTTCGCCAAAATTTCTCGCGATTTCTTCCAGTGTTAGACGGGCGGTTTCCGGGAAGAAGAAGTATATAACTATCCATCATATGTTATTGTTAGCTCTGGCATTGTTGTGGCTTCTTTCACCAATCTGATTTAGACTTCATTGGTGAGGTCGATTGGTGATTGAAACGCCGAAAGTAACCGTGAGGGCTCATAAGTACCTGGAATGAAAAATATCGACCAACAAATAATAACCAGGTAGTATCTCCAGCCAACCTGAGCGAATCCGATTGGAGCGGTTTGCAAGAGAATGATCGTCGCTGTATAATCGTTAGTAAAGGGTTGTATTCCCAGTGGTAGATGCTCCGATGAACACACTTACATGCGAACTGGCCAAAGAGGGAAAACCCCATCCCAATGGGACGGATCTCAGTGGGGAATATCTCAGACACGTATAGGTACATTGTGGTGTCACAAAAGGTTCTGAAAGAGCAATTAGCAAAAAGAAATGAATATATAAAGTTGACTGCTACAATTTGGTTCATTTACCCTTGGAATGTGAGATATAAAAAAATAAAGAATATTCCAAACCCGTTGCCAACCCGATTCAGCGTGCCAGCGTATATAGCGGTCATAGCGGCTAAGCATGATGTCGTTACAACGATGCCGATAAACCCAGTGATAAACATGGATCTTCTAGAATTGACTTTATCATGCAACCACGCCCCAGTGGGATTGTAAATGAGGCCTGCCGTGGTCAACCATAGGGCACTCAGGAGTAGCGGCATGTGACCCGTCATGCCAAGGTTTTGGTATAGAATGACTGCATAATTATTCTGAATAATGAGATGTTAGTAACAAATCGCAACTGCTAGTTCAAACTTTTATGCTTGTGTAAACTTACAATGATCAAGGGACCTCCAAATTCTGCTCCCCACTGAGTCAGAAAGCCAATGATCATCCTTTGTCGGTAGGACTTTTTCTTGAAAACCGCGGTCCACACTCCATGGCCGGTGGCGGCAAGTTTTTCTGCCTCAAGTTTGAGCTGCTCCTTTGTTTGAACGAATTCCTCTTTTGCAACTAGATCATCCGGATCGTCCTTTGATCGTCGCAAATGGCGAAGAACCTCCCAGGCCTCATCGAGCTTTCCTTTTGATACTAGCCATCGAGGAGACCGCGGAAGCCAAGGAGAACCCGCAAGTAAAATGAGAGGACTTAGGATCTGCAAACAGAGCGGGAAACGCCAGGCAAAGGTAGGGTTGCTCTCTGTTGCAAAGTAGCATCCATAGCCAACCCAGCTCGAGAACATGTAGCCAAAAACTAGGAATATTGGATGGTGTCCAACCAGCCAGCCTCGCACAAATGGGCTTGACATTTCTGCGAGATACATTGGACAGACAGTAACAAGAATACCAATTGACATGCCAGAGACAAGCCGACCAGCTTGAAACATTCTATCCGCAAAGTTAGCATAATCACCGCTTCTGGCAAACAATCGTAAGATTCTCTGGCATACTTCAAGTTGGCCGCCCCTCCCTGCAACGCACCGCCAACAATTGCAAGGAACGACCCAAGTTGAATGTTGACTTTGCGGCCAACGGCTTCGCAAGACCACATCATAAACAAAGACCCGACAGCACCACCAGCACTAAAGACGCCGTTGGCGGTAGCAATTGCATTTGTTGTAACTGTGGCATAACCGGGCTCGTCCTGCGAAGGGAGATTGAAAAATGAATACCATCCAGGCTGGCCGATGGTGCTGCCTATGATAGAGGCACAGTAACCATAGGTCTAAAGAAGTCTCCCGTAAAATTGGTTAGCCTAAAATTTATAGGAAAAGAAGGTCTCGGAAGAAGTGGAAGGAAACAAAATTGCATTGTACGAACAAAGGAGCCCAAAGCAACGAACACTATAACCAGTCGGTTATATCGACTGGTCTGAGCTCCGAAATTTGCCATATCGAGCGCAGGTCGAAGCAGCTGGGGGGGTTCGCAGTGGGAGGGAAGAATAGAAATATTAAGATTTAAGATATCATCTGGAAAGAAATGATAAGTACATAAGGAGAGGGAAAAGGAAAAAAAGAAAAGAAAAAAAAAATGAAAACAAAACTTGACCTGGAGCAGCAGGAACTTGTCTCGAAAGAAAGTGAACAAAAAACGAATTAGATGATAAAAAGAACACAAACTAGGGTAGCTTGTTAAAATCGAGATGAGTAAAGAAGATCTAGTACTGGAAGGTCTCTCCTGTTATGAATTTGTAATCCCCTCTAGGCCTTCAAATCATGATGCCAGGTCCCGAACGAAGCGATGAGCGGGTTTTAACATACTCAGATTCAAAATAATTTCTCAATGTCGTAAGAGGAAGAAACTCTTCATAGAACTTCCGGGCCACGCGTTTTGCAACACCACACTCGGTTCGTAAGACGAACTATTTTCAAGAACAACGAGGGAACCCCCTAAATATACAAATTTGGAAGTAATAAAGTGTATAGTAACCACCAAAAGTCACCCAAGGAATGTTTGCTCAAAACCACGAGCTGTTGTGTAATCAGGCATGGCCCATTGGCATCTAGCCATCTGGCTTTAGATATATCTTCGGGGGCAATCCCGGATTGCATATTGAAGAGACTGTACTATTTTCATGCAACGGTATTGGATGAAAACGGGCAATTGCATATTTTAGACAAAATAGGACCCCAATGTTCTTTTGTTTCATGATTTCGAAGCCGTATCTGGCGAATGGCTGTTGATTGTGCATGGGAACTATCCTTGCAGTGCAAATGTACCAGCCCCACCCTGCTCTGGAGTCAGGAGTACAAAAAGCAACAGCCAGGATGTGAGAATAGACTCACGCAAAAACTGTAGCCAGCACAGGACATCCACCTATTCACGGGTCAGTATGACTCTTGCTTTAAATAGGAGATGGCTGGCAATGGCTGTGAAAAGTTGAGAAGAATGCAGACAGCAGACTACGAACGAATTCCAGAGCCAGTTCAGTGGAGGATAATCCCGTAATCAAGAGCACGTCAAGAAGGCCTCCTCTCTTCCCCGCCCCCGCCCCCGCCCCCCAGGCCTTGGAGTCGACGATTGCGATGCCAAACTCTGCATCGGTGTGATATTTGTTGTCCCAAAGTCTCCCCAACTTAAACGTAGAAGGGTTTGGTATCAGGGACTTGGATGACTCAGCAGAACAGGCGCTGAAGCTGACTAACTTAACTAAGCCGCCAGCATCAAACCTGTCCGGAAGAACGTTGGAATGTTCCATTTCGCCCATTTCAATTTCTTTCTCCAACGATTTGATATCTGGAATCCCGGCTAGTCACCGCTTTGGAATCCCAATCCCTCTCCAATCCCGCTCATGCCTGCGGTGTTCGTCCGGTTCCGTTACACCCATGGGCTGGATGTGGTATCATTGGGGTGCACCGGGTTAGACCTGACAAAAGTTATATTCCATCCTATTTACCATATCTAGGGGAACGGCAGTCTGAAATTGAATAGAGTATTAAACGGCCATGATGAACCTCGTGGCTGCAAATGGCGTTCTATGTTCGCCGAAATACGCTAATTTCAACGATCTTTTAAGAGGAGCATGTTCTGTGGGAGGGATCTCCTGCGATGTTGTGACACTATATGGTCATATATGCAGATAGAAGAGGGCGAAAAGGGATTTAAAAAAAGAGTAAAAAAACACTCCCTGTGGATGAAGGTTGAAGTCATTGCTCATTTACGGCTATATCTGCGCCTCCCAACTACGCAACTAACCGCTGGGCACAAGACCCGACGATATATATTATCATTCTAGTTTCCAAGATGCACATGAAGTTAAATTGGATGCGAGTAGCATACCAGGGACTCCAATTGTGCTCCTATTTTCATATATATTGCAAGCTCCCCTTGCAATTGTCGGGGTTTGTGTTTAAACCTTTCTTGTAAGTATTTTGTTCAAAAGCCCGGTAGATGAGACACTTTGTGAATTCCCCCCTTTTTCTATTGAGGTCAGGATGTTCGCCAACCTACGAGGGAAATAGATTTCAACATTCCTTTATCTTCTACAGGGGAGGAGCTATTTAGACACTTATTCATATTTCTGACTAGAATGTCGTTGTGATGTGTCAACTCTGCCCGGGTGTTTTGGTCCCTTAAAGGTTAATTCAATCAACCCTTTTGTGGTCCATCGCAGTGTCGCACATAGTGGGATTGTGTGACGTTAATCTCAACTCCCATCTCGCTTGTTAACACTTTCAAGCACGCAGCCTTAGAATATCATACGACCACTATTACACTGTCATCGACCTGGTGGTGGAGTGAAACTTGCAGCAATGGCCCAGGCATCGCCATTCGACATACCATTTGATGAGCTCCCCAATCCTCGCCAAGTGTGGATTGGCACTCCCGGGAGCGTGGAGGAGGGCTTGGGAAAGCTCGCTCTTTTGACCCCAGCGGTGGTGGCAGAAGCAGCAGGAGAAATAAAGACGGGCAAGCGGGTGACTCTTGGCTGGGAGATGACAAAGCTGGAACTGGCTAATTTGAATCGGCAACCTTGTCAGCATCATATCATATCTCTTTTAGATGGTCTTGCTTTTGACGACGTTTACATCATGAACCCCCGTGCGTTACCAGACTCGACTTATCTGTCTTTGTTGGTGTTCTATTTGGTTAACAGACATATTAAGAACAAAGCAGTCAATGGGACGGACTTCGTCATTTTTCACAACGTGTACCTTCTACCGATGGCAAGGAAACAAAACGAGTGTTCTACGGAGGCACCACCGCCGGTGAGATTCTTAATCGATCAAATAATCGCATAGGGATGCAATACTGGGCTCGCCAAGGAATTACAGGTATTTTTTACCATATCATACATTTTGATTTATTGTATACTATAATATCTTGACGCATTGGAAACCGTGACGCTAATATCCCGAGTTTCATAATACTCTCAAAGGTCGCGGAGTTCTAATTGATTATGCCTCCTATGCCGCAAAAAAGGGGATGAAATACACCACCTTTTCGACCCATCAAATCCTCCTATCGGAGATCTTAGATATCGCAAATGAATGTAACCTGACATTTAAACGCGGAGACATCTTATTTATCAGAATTGGGGTGACCAATGAGTGGGACAACCTTATGACTGATGATCAAAAACGGGCGTACTCGGTGGATCCCAAACCCGAACATGCGGGCGTTGAAGCTACGACTGAGATGCTCCGGTGGTTATGGAACACGGGCTTTTCCGCCGTTGCAGGTGACGCGATCAGCTGGGAGGTGGGTGTTGCTGAGCAATGACAAGATCTACGGAATCCTCCCCCCAAAGCTTGGCTGACTTTTAACTATTGCATTTGTCAGGTCTATCCCCCCCAGAACCCTGAAATATTCCTTCATGAATATTTGCTTGCTGGATGGGGAGTTCCAATTGGTATGTGTTCCGAGAATTTTGATGCCGAAAACTTAACCAATGAGACATGATATCGAAAGACATCGATGTTTCTGGGAGTCGTTACCTAACCTTGCATCAGGGGAGCTATTCGACCTTGAAGGTCTCTCGCGCACATGCCAAGAGCTAGAGAGATGGAGTTTCTTCCTCTCGTCGGTGCCTCTCAATATGCCCGGTGGTGTCTCTTCTCCACCAAACGCAATCGCGATTTTTTGATCTTTTATTAGAAATAAGCATCTTCACTGTTGGGTGCTTCAGATGTCTATGACGAAATGTGTCATACGGATGTAAGGGAAGTGGCCGGAGGATGAGGAGCAACTTAATAAGTTCCCCTGGCCTTCGTTTCCCGTTATGCAGACAGAACGAGCTGCGCTTTTCGGACTTCCTCCCCCCCCCTCCCCCCCTTTGATGCGTTGAGGCTACGGTCTGGATTTGATTTCCACGATTTCAATGATTAACGGTAACCTATTTAGCTTTGATATTAATTTACGGGATTTATAATAATATGATTTAAAGTATTATTCTGTTTGTTTCAGTTTCTTTGTTAATATCACTTGGTTGGCTTCATAATAATTCATGGCACATACGTCTTCTCACCCCACTCTGCAGTTTTCAGATTAAAGCAAGCCAACCGACCTGTCAAAAAACTTCGATTGATCGAGGTAGAAGTATTATTTTGCTCCGGACCAGATAGCATACAGCACTTACCTACCCCTATCCTCTTGAGCTAATCTCTGACTGCCAACCAAACCCACATATATCATCTTCTTACTGTCTCGTACTCCATCCAACCTTTTATCATTTCGTCCACTACAAATCATTAGTTTCTCCCCTCGTGTTCTTCCTTCTAACAGATGGTAGTGATAAAACTTATTATCTCGGTTAAAATGGACAGGACGTCGACTATGATTTTACTAACCAACATATAGACTCCTGAAATTATCAGTTTTCATATCGCCTCCTATGTATAGATGGTCGCTATACCTAATAATAAACTCATCTCATTTAGTTGAATACACCATTTACCTGTACATATCCGACATGAAAGTTTCACAAACAAGCAAACTATCATATAGTTATTACTATTGTGCTATGCTAGAGCTTCTTTCCCGCCCCCGCCCAACGGTTTCAGACCACATCCACCCAGTGCATTTTAAAATTGAAGGCTGTTTTTGGTGTGCATGGCTGAGGGGTGGGTGTGGTAGGTCACCACTGTCTTATGATGACTGGACAAGGCTGAGTATATTTATCGGCCCTGTTGATGACTTTTTCTCAACCGTGTCCAATACCTGGGGGACTTGTTCGGGAGTTCTCACTCAGAGTAAAATTTATAAACAAGAATCAGATTGATAAATTCCAAATCCTTATTAGAGAAGAGATGTATAATAGATATAAAAGAGGAGAGGTTAGGCCGCTTTCTTTGAATATCAGTTCCATCCTTGTGATATACTCATAACTCGCGTAGTCTGTTATTGATACCTACTTGGAGGGCCAGTTGGAGAAGTTAGAGGGCGTCATTTGAAGGGAATTGCAAGGTTTATAACATCAATATAACAAGGGAAAGTATAAGTAATGTGATCGGTTTGCAGGCCCTGACAAATAACGGACATGGCATATGCATGCATCATGTAATCCATATAATTAGCATATAATCTCGTAGTTCGCAGCTCGATTGTGTGATCTTGTTTGGACATCTAACCTAGGAATTCTTGAAAACACGAAAGCTGAGCTCTCTTGCATATACTCAGGACAGTGCATCCCTATCTGCAGGGATCAGATCCGTCTGTAATCGCTACTTGGAGCTTCTGGTCAAGCTCAAATTACGGACTGTATACAGATGGGTTTCGCGTAGTAGTAGGACACTAGGAATCTGATTCTTCCGCAGCCAAAGCAACCTCGGTGGAGCTTGTCCTGTATGACCGTATCTGCACTGACCCTGTTCCTCAATCATTTTGAATCCAGCATTGCATTTTCTTGTAGTTGTTATTCCCACTAGAGGTTTCCCTGAGGCTTGTGCGCCCTTTTCTCATCCTTTGCCTAATCCAACTCGGCTTGCAGGGCACGAAAGAATTTGCCATTTCCTGGATGCTGGGAGCTTAACCACTCTGTTAATACATGTGCGCCACATCCCCAATTTGAAACATGCTCAGCCATTGAGCCCTTAGGGACAGAGGGCAAACCGGGATCCGTAATCAAGAACAGCTACGGAGAGGAGTTATGGAGACGTATGAATCCATGTCTTCAATTGAACTGGAGACAACGCAGGTTTTTTTTTTTTTCTTTCAGTCCCAATTTATCAGGTTTACTTACTTAAAAGTACATATCTTGTGCCCGTTAACACGGCGCAACACAAGTAGTAACACTCTGTTTAACCGTCGTTGTAGGAAGGTGGTTCACGATTTGAACCGCACAAACTGATAGAATAGGAAAATAGAGACAAAAAAGTCTCAAAATATGCACACTTCAATGCATGAGCCGCGCATTAAGACCCTGAGATTTTGTTATGGTTTGGAGTTTAAACAGCACAAGAAAAGGGAAAAGGGCCGGAAGAATACATACCAGTATATGTCCTAAGGATGATTGTTTCTTGTTGCGTTCTCTTTTAGTGACCTCGTCGCACACGGTGGCCCAGAGGCCATTTTTCACTCCTCTTATGTGCAAGATAATAAATAAAAAAAGAAAAAAATAAGGGGGCGGGCTCGCGCCTCATCTTTCTTAACATAAAGGGGATCATTTTTCCAAATTTTCTTGTTTCTAATCATAACCGTTGATAATGAAATTGTGCCATCAATATCGGAATTTTTGATACATGTGGACGGTGACTGGACTGGGCTGGTTCAAGCTGATTTAGAGGGAGCGAGAAGGTATTGCGAAGAGAGCGCGCCTCGTTTTAATTCCATAACAGTCGACGACGAATATCAAGAAGGGACACAAAAGAAGAAAAAAAAAAAAAAAAAAAAGGAAAAAAAAGTCCCGATATATATCGCGGTATTCCGGCCAACAATCCCCTCCTGATTCTCCATTCAGCCGTCCATTGTCGTTCCAGTTCCATCACCTCTCCCTTTTTACCTTGTCTACCCTCAATCTCATCTATCTAGTTTTCATGGCTTGTCTGACTCGAAAGTATATCCTTTGATCACGACTAATTTGAAAAGAAGTTCTGCTTTTCGCCATTCTTTTAGTCGATTTGCAAGTAAAGGGGCAGGGAAACGAGCCTGAAGACCGGAGGGGATCGAGAAGTCACCGAGAAGTTAATTCGGGTCAAAGATAAGGAGAACAAGAAAAGGAAAGCGAAATATGGACGCTGCAGCAGAGCCAGCCCTGGTTCCTCCTCCAGGAATGGAATCAAACCTCGACGGCACGAAGGAGGCACTGCATATTTGGAACCTTGTCACCCAGGGCCTCTGCATCTCCTTCACATCGTTATTCTTCTTCCTCCGGATGTATGTTCGAATCTATATTAACAGAGGTTTCGGGCGGGAAGACTGTAAGCTGCTCTTTTCCAAAGCTGTTTTCCGCGAGACTGACTGTATTCTTTCAATCTTGCTGTCGGGGAGAAACCCTTGAGCTGATGTGCTAAAAAAAAATTAAAAATAAAAATACACAGGGTGTTGTTCGCTAGCTTGGGTACCGAAACCTTGCTTGGTCAGTTGCAAGGGGAATTGTGGCTGATTGTTCTCTCTAGTTTCTTGGAATTGGGTATTCCATCATTGCGATTTTGAGTCAGTCTCTCTTCCCGGAAATAACACTTCTTCACATGTTTCATACAATGGACTGATTTTTATGCCATTGAAGTGGGAAAATATGGTGGCGGCTCTCACCAATGGAACGTCCCGAAGGAGGACTTTATCCCATTCAACAAGGTGCGTAAGGAAAGTGGACCACTCCGTATCCCGATCCGTGTACCGGAACCAGGGGCTAAACAATGGCAAACCGGCCGGATTGAGAACCAAAACAGACTGTGTACGGTACAATGGTCATATACGGACCAGCCGCATTTCTCACGAAGGCATCCATCCTCCTCATCCTGACCCGAGTATTCGCCCCGTACAGAAAAACGGTGAGGTTCATATACGTATACTTCGGGGTGCTGCTCGCATACTATATCCCGGCCATCATCGTCAAGATCCGCATCTGCATTCCCATTTCCCACTTTTGGATGGGTCAGACCTCAAACGGCTCTTGTTTGGATGAAAGGGCAATCATCCTGGCGGATGCAATTATTAGTGTCGTGAGCGACTTGACGATTTTGATCCTGCCACTTCTCCTGACCCATTCTCTGCAGATGTCGCTCAGGAAAAAGATTCGGGTCATTGGAATCTTAGGTGCGGGTGGGTTGGCTTGTGCGTCGAGTGTAGTGAGGTTGGTGTTGATTGTTCAAAGGGGGAAGGCTGAAGATCAGACTTATGTGTTCATGCAAATCAATCTCTGGGGGTAGGTGATCAAATTCTCTTCTCTTAATTTCCTCTCGCACGGTCTACTTGCATTCACGTTGCTAAAACTGAATCGGCAACCAACACAGGAACGCCGAAGTGAGCATCGGTATAATCTGCGCCTGTCTCCGTCACTGCAGCCCTTCTCAACCGCATATCGAATGAATACATGTCGCGAAATGGCAGCAGGAGTTGCGATTGCGAGCTGGCTGGAACAAATACGCTGACCGGATCCAGTTCCAAGATAATTGGCTCACAGGGTAGTTTCAATGAGACGGGATCTGACCAAGGCATTCTAACCCCACAGACACAATCGGATTTGAAGGTCGAGACTGCAATCCGGGCTGACCAGCCGGGCTCTTCGCATGGTCATCATCGCGGAGGTCATTCATTTACCGGACATGGGATCATGAAGACGGTAGATGTTTCCCATACAATCACAACCATGGAAGAAATCGGGAGGCGGTGATGCAGAGAGTTGTTGAGCTGGTCTGGGGTCTCTAGAGCTATGTATGGTATCTCGTATAGTCAAGTTGAAAGGGCTGAAATAGACCCCCAAAAACTCATCAAAGAATCCCAAAGTTTTCAAAAGCCAAGTTGGGTCTGAATGATTCTGCGGATGGTTTATTCAACCTGTTAATTAGTTGGGTTAGTTACTCTGCAGTCAACTAGTTACCTATGCATATCGGCAAGCATTCTGTCTGTATCACGATATCTCAGTCTTTCAGCATCGAAACAATTTCTCAAATTTGCTGTGCTGGCAAACGGGGGGCGAATGGCATTCAACGAGAATAATATTGCTACGTCCGTTGACATAAAATTCCAAACCATCATATTGCAGAGTCGTTGCTTATGCATGTATGTTATCTGAAAACTATGCGACGTACTCGGATACGTCAAAAAACGTCTGTTCCAAGTACGAGTGATGATGCGGTTGCACTAAAACGCTCAGACGGGGAAAAAACACAAGCGCGCAATATTTTTTGATGCGAGATAAATTGCAGCTTAAATATCCCATTTATCTTTTCCTTCGACTCTTTTCTTTTTTCGACTTTTTCAATTTGGTGTTTAGTGTTGGTGGAGTTTGTGGTGGCTAGAAGGCTCAAGCATGCCAAGGATCATCAACTAGCAGCCGAACAAAAAAAACTCCAATTATCGAATTTAAATCACACAAGAGCAGCAAACCCAAATACACTCCAGAGGTGAAATGCCCAGGAGGGGCATAGAATCGCAAATTTTTAGATTCTGATATGGGGGAGAGACAAACAAAGTCACCGTAAGAGGACTGCACCCAGTGATTTCCAAGCATCCCGTTGAGCTACATTCTTGCACTCCACTGCCGGCGGGCAACATAAACGCCGTCTGAAGGTTTCCTCAGGGGTTCATGAAAGCCCAGAGTTAGAGATTGGGTCGATTCCCTCTTTGATTCCCAAGAGCTTCGGGAGTAATTAGTCAATTGGAGTGTAGACTTGCAAAACATCTTCGAGGATAATGAGCGTTCCAAGGCACCGCCTGGCATCACTCAAGAATCGGATATGAAGCTTCATGCCATCCCAGCATAATTCACTTCACGACGATTCCCTGCACTCGGCTATTGTAAATGCGGATGGGGAAGTAGTAATTTGTTCGTTGACCATCTCATATGGAGCATGGCAGTGATTTGCCTAGCGAAAAGCCACGGGTTTCATCATGACCGGGGTCCATGGGTCCAACTTCCAATCAAAGGCGGGATGGTAGCAAAAGAGGGGGAAAAGGCAGCGCGATGTGGTTGGCTGGTTCCTGACTATCAACCGAGCAACCAGGAAAACATCGAAGTTAACTGGGGGAGCCGAGAGATAGCGGGAAGAGAAAGGCTCCCTACCCCTTGAACGGATGATTTGCTAAATGAAATGAACATCAAGAGGTGACCCTTGGACAAAGAACAACGCAAGATTCCAAGATGAGTTTTACTAGGAGGCTGAAAGCAAGGACTAAAACCCGAAACCCCTTTTCTCATTCGCCGGAAAATAAAATAAAGGTCGATCAGGATGAATGTACGCAGCGCACAGGTCTCCGTTTTTGATGGCGACAACGCCTATCATTCCTGATCGATGTTAAAAGATATGCATATGAGGAGAAGGAAGAAGCTACGGAGAGTGTAGTTTATGAGTGAGTGTATACTGCGTAGGTTGAGAAGGGATGGGAACCAAACCCTCAGGAAATGATGCCGAGAAAACCTGAGGGACAACTGAAGACAGAGGCCCGCTTGAGAAATTTGCCCAGGATGTCACTGGTGTTTCATCATCCTGTTCTGCTGACAGCGACAGTCTGTGCCCCCCGCCACGGTCTTGATATTGATCGAGTGCTTGCTGTGTGTTCAGGTGCTTGGCTACCGTATGGCATGTCCGCCGGTGCACCCTCTGCACCACTTTTCTCCTGGTCCTATAATATAAGTGCGCTGGATAACTAAGTTGTCCGCGCTCAGCCAGTTAGCGTTATCCAACCTCCTCTGTCCAAACTCATTCTCCTGTCTGAAGGGGCAAACGATGACTGTTTTGATTGTCTCTCCTTCCTGCCTCTGGTTTTACGGCTTCTTTTTCTTGTTTCTTGGTTGAGAATTTCTCCTCCTCCTTCTCACTCCTCACCACACCCGTCTGCTCGGAGACCGTATCTCTTCCTCGAGAAGGAAGACATCATTCTCCTGTTCTGTTTTTCTGAAGCTATTCATTCTTTTGCCTTGTGCACTACCGCTTCACAAGTCCTCCCTTTTTATATTCACTCGTTTTCGCAGTCGATTTTTCAATTCCCCTCCCTGGATCCCAACCATCCAACATCTTCCCCCAAGGATCCAACGCGCAAGAGACGCGAGGGACGGATATCGTTATTCTTCAAGCCCGTTGAGAAGAAGTGTATAAACAGTGTAAAAGGTTCTGTTTCATGTCGTAGAATCACTGTTTGTGTGCTTCTGTTTTGTCACCGCCAGTGTTGATTCACTGCTGTGTTTGGTGCTGATATTGATTAGACCTTGCAGTGAGTGACTCTCCGCCACCAGTCACTCCTCCGAACAGTCTACCCACCAACACACAACAGAAACTCACTTCTTTTCTGCTATATCTGTCACTCATTACTTTTATTCTTATGGGGTTTGGAATTGCAGGTTTACAATCGTTCATCCTCTCTTTTATTGTATACACTCGGATTTATCAGATCAAACATCTACATTCAGAGTCTGGGACTCGGATACAGCTATAGCCCTTCCTATATACTAAACATGCATCTGAGCATCATCTACACAGCGGCTCTGGTGGCTGCCATCTCCCCGGCTTTGGCATTCTGGCGTCTGCCTTGCCAGGGGCGTTTGGGTGTTGCTCGTCTAGATCCTCTCGTCAATCCTGGCCAAATTGCACCTCACGCCCATGTTGTCCACGGTGCTAGCAGTATGTATTCACAGGTCTAATCACCTATTTTGTTTGGCATTTATATAATTAACTTCCCTGATAGACTTTGGTATGACCGTCACCACTGATGATCTCTTGAAATCCCACTGCACATCTTGCGCCATAAAGCAGGATAAATCCATCTATTGGACCCCAGGAGCCTACTTCAAGTATCCCAATGGAGAAACCGAATTAGTGGAGCAAGTCGGTGGTATGCTTGTGTAAGTTTCTCTTCCAAAATATGGGCAGATCAAGAGCTTCCTTATCTAGATCCTAATATATGCATCCTACAGCTACTATCTGCCGCGCGGAGAGGGAGTCAAGGCATTCCCCAAGGGCTTCCGCATACTTGCTGGAGATCCCTACCTGCGCAACTTCACTTGGCCAGTCCCCGACCCTCCAAAGTCCTCTTGGTCAAAGTACGAGTCCACACAATTCGCCCTGTCCCAAAAGGCTGTAGGTTTCAACTGCCTGAACTATGCGGGCACTCCCGAACCAACTCTCTACCGCCACACCATGCCATCCAAGAAATTCATTGATGAAAACTGTCCTAACGGCATTCGCATGGAGATTTTCTTCCCATCCTGCTGGAATGGCAAGGACCTTGACACTGACGATCACAAATCACACATGGCGTATCCCAATCTCGTTGAGGATGGTGTCTGCCCCGAGGGCTTCAAAACGCGCCTTGTTTCTCTCCTATACGAAACCATCTGGAATACCGCTAAATACAAGGGCATCGAGGGTGAATTTGTGCTCTCCAACGGCGACCCGAACGGATGTGGCTACCATGCCGACTTCATCGAAGCTTGGGAACCCGGCGTCCTCGACGATGCCGTGAAGTCATGCAAAAACCCCTCCGGTCGCGTCGAAGACTGCGGCGTCTTCAACCTGCAATCCGAGGCTGAACAAAACAAGTGCAAGTTCAAAACGCCCTCCCCCATCGCTACTGAAGGCTGCAAGTTCTCCAAGAATGGCCTTCCCGGCGCTGTTGAGATTTTACGCGGTCCCCAATATGCGAAGGTAGTCACTCCCAAGATCGACATTATAGCTGCCGATGTTCCCAAGGTCAACGTCAATATCCCCGTCAATAACGCTCCTACCCCTTCACCCTCCCCCGTAGTATCCTCTTCTTCCAGGCCACAACCACCTCCACCAGCTCCGACCACCACCACACGTGCCCCTGCTCCCGCGCAGTTCTTCGCCCCCTCCGAGAATGCCGGCGATGGCGATGGCGATTCCGTTCCCATTTCCACCAGAACATACACCGAAGGCAATGTTGTTTATGAAGTCGTCATCGTGGAAGAAAAGGTCACTACTACCATTGAGGTTCCCGCTGGAGCTACGCCACCTGCTGGAGGCAAGGTTCTGAGGAGAGCGAGACGCCATGCGCATGGCCATCGCCATTAGCAGTAGATACAGCACTTGAAAGAGAAGAGGGGTGGGATTTAGTGAGGGACGGATGGGTGAGTGAGGTTTGAGTTGATGAGTGATATGCATCAGAATATTGGACTATGTTGTAAAGGATCCCGGTATCTTTTTTTTTTTTTTTTGTCTCATTTTTCATGTTATGGGAAGAGCATGGGAAGGAGTTCCCTGGTTTGGTAGTATGGTGTTTAACAAGAGGAAGAATACCAAGATGGGAGAGGGGGATTATTTTCTGTATATTCCACTTAGCTTTGTGAAATTAACAAGCATTTTTCCCATACCTTTTTTTTTTTTTCTCTTTTGTATAATCAAATAAAAATTTGGCTTTTCATCAACTTTATATCAATTGGCTTGATATCTCTACGTTAGACCTACGATCAGATTTTTCCTACTTATAGGGTCAAATCCTACTACTAACCTGACTGAATCTAGTTCAGTGGATTCAAATGATTCATTTTGCGGTGAAAGTGAACAAAAAAAAAAAAAAAAAAAAAACTCATTCTAGCAGGAAATGCTTGCTAATACTGAGAAATCCCGCACAGTAGATGCCCCGTGGTAAATGCAGTAATAAAATCGAATTTGACATTGGCATATTTCATAGTTCTGCTCGCTTCGTTTGCGCCAACCAACAAGTTGTACGTCTTGGTGAATGAGCTGGCACCCATCTAACAGTCAAACAGTCAAAATGTGAAGGAGAAGCAAACTTTTAAGAGACATAAAAATGTATCATTTGCTAGATGATAGAAGTCTTCCGTACGCACGCTTTCTCATCACAGGGGCTGGGAACAGATACGTAGAGAGACGAAGAGAGACGAAAGGTCCGAGGTTCGTCGTCCCCGCATTATCTTGCAAATGTGCGAGAGAGATCGCATTTGAATAGGAAAACGGGCCCTTCAATTAGGGGATGTGGGAAACAAGCTTTCGACCAAAGTCCGCCGCTTCTTCCTCTGAAGAAAGGTTGACATGATAGCACCGCCAGATCGCCCCGAGAGGGCCCCTCTGACAATTCCACGCCACTTGCCGGATACCTGTCAGAGACTTGTGGACCGCCTGCAGTAAATAATTCTCTATTGGATAACTATTAGTGGCATCATGGCGTTGGTAGGAGGTTGGCTGCAGTCTAGCTCGTGCAACCAAGGCTATGCGGATGTCTCCAGACTCATCATACATGGGGATCTACTCCACGTCATAACTAGTTACGGATTGCCGCAGCACTCAGCACATGCACCCTCTCGCTTGTAGGGATCTTTTATGGCACGCGACTCAACGCTATGTTCCCCGTTCCCATATCTCCCAGCGAAACTCTACTTTCCATTGGAAATACTTCGTCACCAACAAAGGAATCTACCTTGACGAGCATCTCAAGATGTGGACATAGTCACCGTCAAGAAATGTGAAATTTGCATGTGTGCTCTCCATAGTTCTTGCGCTTGAAGGCCCAGCATCTTTCATTGGTTGATTGGATTCTTGCGTATCAGCTATTGATTGGGTGTCCTTTTGAGAATTCTCTGCGGTGGTTACCTGGGGGCTTCCAGCAAGCGCGCACCGCACGCACCGCAAACTCTGTTCTGCACGCTTTGGCGTGAGATGGGAAGCTGAACGAGCGGGCATGCTGACATTGAGTTTTGCAAATTGCAAACCAGGATTCCAGACCGTTGTTTGACACCCCGTCTCCCTCTTGAAGGCTTCAGCAGCCTCAAACCAAATATGAAGACCACCGAATAGCCGGTTGTTCTTGAGTTTTAAGACAATGCAGACATTTCTCAAGGAAGTTCCTTTGACTCTCCAACCCCGCCTGGAAACTCAAGAGATCCAAGAATACAATTACTTCTCGCATAGTGCTTTGAGGCATCGGTTGCTTAAGGGACAATTGATCCCGGTCAAAACCTCCCATTGTGTAGTTTTCAATACCTCTTTCATCAACCATGATGGCTATTATTATTATATAGCTTGTGGGTGGGACGGCTACCATGCAACAGAGAGACGGAATAATGCGATGTACATTTATAAAGTTTAGCCACCAGAATAGTATTGTTTCGCAACGGCTCTCAAAGTAAGGAAATTCATCAGAGTTGGAATAGCCTTTTCATGGACCGAATTCGAGGATTGAATTTGTTGGCCGTCAGCATACACTGAGCGCACCGGGCTGTAGAAGCAGCTTCGATATGCCGGACTTAAACCTGCACGTTACCGTTGCCAATTTCCTTAGCCAGCACAGCAAGACCCCGTCAATCTCTGTTTCCGGGCTGCCGCAATGGCCTCGTATAATTATTTGCTCGAGATGGAGCGCACAGGCCAACCTGATATTCTCCAGGATCATCGGTTAGCTCGAAGAGAGAGAGAGAGAGAGAGAGAGAGAGAGAGAGAGCGGCGCGCTTCGTGATTCGCACGAATTACTCAGAGATTGCGGGGCCACACCCTAAAAGATAGATATAACAAGTGTCAACTAGGGGTGCAATTTCTTTCAATTGACTATAATTAATATAGCACTGTGTTAAACATCATCTGCATCTCTTCGTTTTCATGGACACTATTTCCTCCCTCAGCCCGTTTTTTCTCTAGGTAGTTGGTCTATCGTCCGGTGTTTCAGACTCGGATTGCGAAAGAATTTTTACCGCTGATTCGCCATCGGTCCATGGGTCAGGTTGAACCTCGCCGTTTTCCGTGGCCACCTTACTGGGTGAGCTCCGAGATTGAAAAACTGACATAGAAATATCGAACGGATGGGGACTAGGGTGTGCGAGTCTGCGTGAGGGCCATACTCTCCTACTTGAGACGGATAACCCAGATCTAGAGTTGTCGGATCGTTTGAGCAAAGTATAGAGAGATCTGCATGAAGCGAAACAGGACGTTATAACCGCTATACTGCTCTCTATCATGGCCCAAAACACCTTCCAGCTAACAGGTGGATGTATGCCAGGGAAGTTAAGGGATATAATTCTGATGAGGGAGGTTGCAACGATGACAAAACCCAACGAGAACAGACATATGATCCCTAGTTTCTGATTCAAGGGTAGTTTTGACTTTGCAATGAATGCGATTGGAAGAGCCATAACTGTAGTTTTGACGAGGAATTAGCATATTTTCAAGCAAAGTATTCAGATCGAGTAATAATGAGGGCTGTCATTGATCGATTAGACAAGAAAGTTAGGAGCATACTCATAAAATCAGTCAAGATATCTAGTGCCGCTCCGGTTTTCAAAGTGATATTATTGCGCCGTATGTCATCTTTGTCTGCGCAGGGTCCTATTTTTCTTGTTAGCAGCTAGAGTTCACGACGTCGATATGTCAAAGGATTCTATGAAATCTCTAACCTAGATAGAACTTTACACAAGTCCCAGGTTCCAGTGATAGACTACCCAAGCCCAATATAACGGTAGAAATCGTAATAATCCACCAAGGTTTTCGAAAGCCGGGAATACTATGAAATATTCTCCACATGAAGGACAGAAAGCTGGCCTTGATCGAGTAGATGACGAAATTATAAAGCACATCGACCGTGAATGATAGTTTCAACATTGCGTTAAAGTGATGATTCCATCCAGGTGTTTCAATAACAAGCTGCTCATATAATTCTATATGGTGTACGCAGTACATGGCAACGACATCCATGGCAAAGAGAAATGCGTAACCAAAGGCCGCGAACGTGTCTTCCCAGAATAGTCGACGATAAAAACGCAATCGAAGTCCCAGACGCAGTATCATGAGCACCGAACATACCGCAAAGAGGGGCCATTCCGCGAGCTAGAAACAGAAAGGGAAGTTTAGCAATTGACATAATAACAAAATTCGGGGTCACTTTGTATCACTTGCCACCAGGGTTCTTTTGGACATCCCCATGTCTCCTGAGATCTTTCCCTTTGAGCTAACTGCCATGATGTGGAGGCCTCACGAGACAGTATCCGGGGCATACTTTGTTCACCCCGACGAGAGAATCCGTTCTCTCATCAAGGAATTATCTTTATAACTTATCTATACTCTAAATAGTTTATTAACCAGACCATGGCAGGATGCAAGATTTAAAACACTCAAGGGGAAAGAAACTCAGATGGAATGGCCGTGATAATAGAAGCCAGCCTGTGTTAAAAATAAATAAATAAATAAAAAATATCTGATTCAATCCCAATTGTTCTCACGGAAAAATAAAAATTGGTGGGTTTTGCTGCCGGCAGGCTTCCCCTTTCAGAGACTTCAGGTCGAATATGCTCAGGGATTGGAAGGTGAGAAATATTTCTGGCAGTGGGCAAGCCGCTGATAGTCAAGCCACGACCACGAGTTCGGTCAGGTCGCCTTGACCACTAAACTAAGAGCGATTGGCTTGTTGGAGCCGTCTCGTTGCGCACGTCCACGGCTCTGGGTCAGTAGCGTGCAATTCAGGGCTCTTGGACTCCTAATCTATCAGTTGTTGCTCCGATATCTCGAACCTTAAACGACGATGTTCAGACGGAATGCCTATGATATCTCATTTTTGGGTCTGACCCCCCCAAACGAAGGCGTGGAGAGTTACCTGACTTGGGCTGGGAGAGCCGACGGGGGTAGTAATGCTACCTAGACAACGTTGTAGAACTTTGAAAAGGGCGGACTCGTGTCAGAAAGGGGATATCATCATCAAATCTTCTGCCCTTGACCAAATCAACGGTGTTGACTTGCACTAAAGATTCCTAAATCCAACTTGGGATAGTGTGAAGACACGCCCAGAGTGTCATCTGGCATGACCACCAGGACTCCCAGGCCTGGGGTGGTGGGGGGACATCTCCTTGAATTTTAACTAGTTATGAAGAAGAGATGACTGCGGATAGTGGTCTCCAGCCTAAAATTTAGCTTCTCTTGATGTGGCTCTTTGGTGGCTGGCAGCTGGGAAAGTCACCATGAGTCACAAACCTATGAAAGCGACCTCCGCATTTTCTCGTGGTTTGATGTGGCGGAACGGTTTTTCTGCTTGGTATCGAGCTCGGTCCAAATCCATGTTATTGGAGCCCGCCGTCTCTCTGACCATGCACCTAGATGGGAAAGGTCAGCTACCTGATCATTCTGCTTGAGGACCGAGACTCAAGCCAGAGGAGACGCCCCTATCTACTAAGCTATGAAGGGCGCGCGCTTCTGACCCATATACGGACGCCTCCCTTCCTCATGACCAACTAACATTTTCTATCAGTGTATAAGTTAAATCTTTTATAGTATCTATAATATGATATTTTGGATCATAGAACTTCTCTTCTCTTTGGAAGGGAAATACCATCAGAGACTCACAGCCGCTGTGTTGACCGTTCAATAAGCTCAGTAGCAAATGAACTGAGAGAAAGTCCCCTGATGTCTTTCTTTTAAATGATCTGTCTGCCAATCCCATATTTAGCGATAGTGAGATAGATGCTTCGTCAGCCAAAATACCAACTCCGCCCAAGGTGAAGCGGCGAGGAGGATCAAAGGACAGCGGATACTACCATATCTGCCAACGATACCAAGAGGGCTCTCCGGCCCAACATATCCGGGGATGTTCAACCCTTTCCCTTCCTCTGCTACCACAAAAACCCCCACTGTGTAACGGTTTTCTGGAACAGGTCTATGATTCCCTGTGTGTAGTTCTGCGGCGATGGCAAGACTCTGAAAATATATGATGGAACTGCACACAATTGGACGGACGATGGGAGACATGGTTTGGATTTCGACAGTCCAGAAACCAAACCACCAAAGGTAGGGAAAGTCTCCTTCTGCAACCCCCCTTCTGTTATACATTTTGTTTGCAGTCAACTAATTTTAGTTCGAATATAGCTCATCCGATGCTCAATATGCGATGTGCAACAATGCATTCTTTATCCAGACGAGGTAACAAGAAACAGGAGACATCATCCTGCGCTTTGCGTGTCAGACAGTCGACTCAGGATCGCCGTTTGTAACGAAGTGTCGGTGAGGAAGCAATGCATAATCCAATCACCCATCGAGATTCCCGAAATCAAGGAGCGGGAGCTTCTTATCTGAAGGAGATAGATGATATACACACGGCAAAGAGAAGCTGTTGAACGGGAGATCAGCTGTTTTGAAAGCAATGCCTAACCGCGTGTCGCATGGTATCATATAATGGGATCCTCCTCTCAGATCATGATCCATAATTCATGGATGGGCAGGCAGGGGGAGAACGACATAGTGTCAAATATCCGAATCCGAGCCTTCAAACAATATATCCTGCTGTAGCAGCAGTGTAGCAGCCTCAAAACCCTATTATATCTCGCAATGGTCCTCATCTATCACGCATTTTAGACGCACCCGGTGAAATCTCTACAAGATACGCCTAGGCCATCTACGCAGGCACAAAAGGCCTCAGGAATCCTGCCTAGTTAGTCAAGGGAAAAAGAAGATACGAATAGTTATTAGTTTCCTATGGTTGTTTGTCCGTTCTCTATCCCAGAAGGCCCTTCTTCTCGGGGACACAATTTCAATGCGATTCCGGCAAAGTTGGCGATTGGATATATCCCGGGGGTTGCCGAGAAGCCGAAGCCGAACCTGAACCTGAACCTGGCGTTCTTTGCCGGGCCTTCTAACGGCAGAGTGACCCCGATGTCGGGTGCCAATTCCGCCCAGGCACCGCGTCATATTTATTTTGACTTGGCCGATGGTCTTGTTGACTATTGCACAACTCGGTTTGGTGGGGCATTATGGGTGTTTTTGTGTAACTAGTTATGCTATGCCATATGCCGGTCTTTTGTGGAGGCCCCAGGCTTTTTTCACGGCTTCCCCCGCAAAGTTTTCACACTCTCATTGATTCTTAAGAAAAAGCAGAAGAATGATAAGAAATGCCCAACACCCGACTGCGCGTTCTCTTGCCCCTTATTTCTTTTCCTAATTTTGTTGTTCTGGTTTCTGAGTTAATTACGAAGTAACACTCAGGCATATATAACTACTCTCACAGCCTTAGCCTTGTAAACAGCCGACTAACCTTTCTCTACTTTTGGAACTGAAACATCCACAACAGCTCCATTATTGAAAACTATTGCAGCACGAACCGTACGTAGGTGCTCCTGTCGTTTTGTCTACATTAGTATCGAATATCTTCGCGTGGCAGTGATCTAGCCTTGGTGCATAGATTATTCAATACTGGCCTGGCCACTGCATTCATTGTTCCTTTTTGGCCGCACGTTCCCTTACTCGTGCGCCCGTCCCGGCTAGGAGAATTTAAAAGAAGAAGCGAGAGAGAGCATTAAAATATCTGACCCTGGGCGACTTCTCGAACTTCTCGAACGGAGATCTGATTAAGCCGTCTGATTCTCCCTTCAGAACTCGTTCTATATACATTCAAATCAGCTCCTGGCAGCAACAATGTCTGGCCGTCTAACAGGCAAGGTTGCCATCGTCACTGGTATGTATGCTATGCTAGTGGTACCATTCTAAGTTTTTCATTTTCATTTTTTTTTTTTTTTTTTTTCCCATATCTACATATATTCGAATTATATAGCTAATGTTTTCGATAAAATCACAGGTGGTGGCTCTGGATTCGGTGCTGCAATCGCAAAACGCTATGCACAGGAGGGGGCCAAGGTGATTATTGGTGATATCAATATTGCCGGTGGAGAGAAAGTAGCCTCTGAAAATCCAGAGAGCATCGTGTTTACGAAGATGGATGTGACCAAGGAGGAAGACTGGACCGTTGTGCTTGAGTTAGCAGCGAGCAAGTTTGGCGAAGTAAACATCTTGGTGAATAATGCGGGCACCACATATAGGAATAAGGTCGGTTTCTCGAACATATCTGACCCACTCTGTCTAAAGACGGTGGATAAAAAAAGCCCATCCTCATTGCTTTTTTCTACCTTATGCATGCAGACGACATGCTGACAAGAGGGGGGAAAATGAGTGACCATTCACATATTTCCTCCCTACACCACTTACCCTCTACCCCTGCACCTCCGTATGCTGCATCCATGAAACCTGCAGCCAGCTGAACAAACCTTGAAAGTAAGCTAACACACCAAAAACTTCCCTCTCTATCTGTAGCCTTCAACAGAAGTGACATTAGACGAATTCCAGCGTGTCTTCGACGTTAACGTCAAAAGCATCTTCCACGCCTCGAAAACCTTCATCCCTAAACTCATCGAACAGGGCAAAGGTGGCTCGATAATCAACATCTCCTCCACTGGGGCCTCCCGACCCAGACCGGGCCTTGTATGGTACAATGCCTCCAAGGGTGCTGTTTCGAATGTTAGAGTTTTCCTCTCTGCTCCTGAAGTAAAGTAAAATAAAATAAAAAAAAATGAAAAAAAAAAAAAAAAAATGAAGCAGAAGAAGAAAAACGATCACAAACTAATCCTCCCCAAAATCTACAGGTAACGAAGGGTCTTGCTGCTGAATATGGCCCGAATCAAATCCGAATTAACAACGTCTGCCCCTTGCTGTGTGGCACGGGCCTGTTTGAGATGTTTGTTGGTGTGCCGGATACTCCTGAGAACCGGTCCAAGTTTGTTTCGAACGTCCCTCTGGGTCGACTGACGGAGCCCGATGACGTTGCGAATATGTGCTTGTATTTGGGCAGTGATGAGGCGGCATTTATCAACGGGACGGATATGATTGTTGATGGAGGGAAATGTATTTAAGGTCTGGGAATGAGCTTTGAAAAAGTGAAGTTGGGGTTTGAGTAATGAATAGACTAGCAAACATGAAGTGAAGCATTCGGATGATTGTCAGATATGTTTTAAAAAGGGCATTGCCTTGAGGAAAGATATACAGAGTCGGAGAATTATCAATATTGATTTAGATACAAACTCTCTTTAATAACAGTAATTGGTTCCTCACATCTATAGATTTTCAACTATAAAAAAAAGCCTCGCAATAGAACATAAAATGTTGTGTTTAACAACATTAGAACTACTGAAGCATGTAAGAGCTATAATATAGTTCACAGTGGGTTCTACACTTCGTTGTTAAATCATATACTTAGTTATCAACAATGTAATGTTATTAAGCATCTTTTTCAAAAAGAAAGACTTCTTCGAATCATTTAGCATTTAATAATACTTAATTTGTAAATGTATTTTGTAGCAAGGCTGTATGATTGTAACAGGTGTGCTGCTGAATACGGCTCTAACACTTCCTTATAACAAAAAGACGAATTCGTTAGAAGGAGAAAAGAAGAGAAAATGAAAAGCTACGAAGGGAGTGCAGAGTTGTTATACGGGTCATGATTCGGGCAAAGAGTTTGGTCACGAAAAGGTTATCAACCGGGGCGTTAGCCAATTACAATGATATATTTTTAATTGACTTTAACTAAAGCGCATGATTATATAGTTATCATACTCGATTAAAAAACCGAAAACTCAATCTTAGAGAAAGATTTTTTTTTTATTTATAATTTTCATCTATAGGCGTATAAATAGATCATTTTGAAGTATAATTATAAACAATATTCTTAATTCGTATGAGTTATTATTTTCTTAAGATTTTAAGAATAATTTTAAATAATTTGAAATTTTTATATTAATTTAATCATAATAAAAATGATCAATTAACTTCGAAATATAATTTTTATTAATATAAATAACTAACTAATCAACTTAAAGGTTAAATATGAACTAAGTTGTTAAGTAGATAGATGAATTATATTTTTAATAAATACTAATTAAAAGAAATAGTTCTTATCTAACTAGTTTTTTTTTTAAGAAAAATCATTGAACATTTTTATTCTCTTCAGAGTTAATCTATATGAATTTATGCAGAAATTTACTCTCAACGCTCATCATTAAAGTCAATAAGTGTAAAATGTACACTTCAAACAAGTCTATGGCTTCATGAACCGAGAATTTTTTTTTTTTTTTTTTTTTTTTTTTTTTTTTTTTTTGCTTTTAAGAGTCAAAATCAGGAGTTCAATACATGCCTCTTTATTGCAAATTGATGGTATATAACTGCGCGTTGAGTTGAATGAAGGTTTAACGATATTTTGAATTCATGGCGCACTCGGTGGGAATTAGGTTTAACTAATATTGTGAGAACCAGATGTGAAACCAGAGAATTTTATCTGGTTCCAAGAACTTGCATTTGAGATGTTTACTCTTGCTAATGTTGAACCTTTCATCGTATTGCCTTCTCTGTCATATTACACTACTGAGCAGACTCCTTTTCTTCTGAATCTGAATGGCTTTTTGTCACCCTTCTCAACCGTAGAAATCCTGGGGGTCTTTGGGAATGATCTCGGTGATCATTTTCGTTCAGAATGTGGGGTTGGAGCGTAACTCGCCCGCTCGTTAGTTGCAAGACTAAGATATTCAAAACAGTTCCCCTTGGGGCTCGTTTAACACAGCATCCATTTAAAAATCCGCGACATTTCTTTAAAATATGTCCGTACCGGGCATAACCTTGTAAGAGAGGTTAATCTTCGATTATTGAAAGGAGGCTATGTGCGATCACGTGTGGCCGGGTGACGGCTTACGCCCCCAACCATTTCATCTTTTTTCTCCAGCCGTTCTCAGGTTGTTATTTTTATTATTCATTAAATCTCTTCCACGTCCACTGGTAAAAAATAGTGTCAATCATGTCAGTGGCATCAACAATCCAAACTTTCACGGACAGTCCGCCGAGTTTTGTGGTATCCAGCGTTGTCTTCGTAAGTTGAAACCGCTCACATCTTATGTAAAGCCTCCGCTAACAACCTTTTCAAGGCGATCCTTTACTTGAGCTGGAAGTTCATTTACAATGTCTTTTTTCACCCCCTCCGCTCATTTCCCGGTCCGCTTAGCCATGCGATGAGCCGGATTCCATATTTGTTCAAATTGTCCTCCGGGACTCTGCAATTTGACCTCTTAGATATGCACAAGAAATACGGCGACGTGGTGCGAATTGCGCCGAATGAACTGGCTTTTTCCCATCCGGGTGCCTGGAAGGATATTATGGGCGCTCACCTGCGGAAGGAAGAAGAACTGCCAAAGTACTTGAAATTCTATCGTCCATTGGGGAATCGAAAGGATCCAGTCAGTATCATCAGCGCAGATCGGGAGAAGCATGCGCTTTTACGCCGTGCGCTTTCCCCTGGCTTCTCTGAGAAATCAATGAGGCAGCAGGAAGCTCTTATTCGTCAGTATCTTGACTCTTTCGTAGTGAAGTTGCGTGAGCTGGGAGGGGGTGGAACCAAGTCTCTAGATCTCATGGAGTGGTATAACTGCGTGACCTTCGATATCATCGCGGATCTAACCTATGGTGAATCCTTTGGATGCATCGAAAACGCCTATTTGCACCCTTTTGTTAAACTTATGCTCACGTCGGGGCGTGTTGGGACGTTCCTACAAAGCGCTGGCTATTTACCACCGCTTCTGAGAGCTCTCGTGAGAAAGATTCCCAAGTCGGGAATGGAGGGTCAGTTGAAGATTGCAAAGGAGAAACTTGCAAGGCGAATGGCAGTTGGCAACGATCGCCCCGACCTAATACAGGGCCTCCTAAAAAAGAAAGATGAAATGGTAAGTTCTGCATACGAGAAAAATGAATAGAGCTTTCTCTCACCCATGCTCGCGAGTATTTTACTCTAACTCTTAAGGCTCAATCCTCTTTATACAACAAACCTTGGAACCATCCTTGCTCCACGCTAATCTGTGTTCCCTTACTCATTAGAATATGGGCATCGATGGGATCGCGCTCAACTGCAGGCTTCTCCTTATCGGTGGTTCCGAAACAACCGCAACACTCTTGTCCGGAGTAACTTTTCTGCTGCTAACGAATCCCAAAACCCTCGAGAAGCTAACAGCGGAAGTCCGCTCAAATTTTAAGAATGAATCTGAAATTACCATTAACTCCGTTAATAGGCTGTCATATATGCTTGCTTGCCTTGACGAGGCACTGCGGGTGTATCCGCCCGTGGCCATTGGGTTACCTCGTGTTGTCAACAAAGGTGGCTGCAGCATAATTGGACAATTCGTCCCTGAAGATGTCAGGGGCTCCCTTCCCCAACTATTTGCAAAGGGGAATCCCAAGTATCATTCTGTTTCTTTAATATGCGCAGACTGACAAAGTGTACAAATCCACAGACAGTGGTTGCAATCCACCATTGGTCAGCATACCATGACGAAAGGCACTTCACAGACCCCTTTGCATATCATCCGGAACGGTTCCTGGGTGATCCTAAGTTCGCAAACGACAAACGCGACATGCTCCAACCCTTCAATGTGGGTCCGCGAAGTTGCATTGGCAGAAGGTAAGTATATAAAGCCACCAGGGTCATATAAAACTCTCCGCATTCCCCTTCTTAAGACCTCCCGCTCCTCAACATTAGGTTTCGGATCAAATTCACTCTGGCTAATCAGTTAAATTTTCCTTTCATCGATGGCCCTTGCAGCCTAGCATATGCTGAAATGCGCATCATCCTCGCGCTTCTAATCTATAACTTTGACATGAAGCTCGCCCCAGAGAGCGCGGACTGGATCCGGCGGCAGAAAGTGTTCATGTTTTACACGAAGGGGCCGTTGAATGTTTTCCTAACACCAGTTCAGAGATAATTTGAGAGAGGGGGGGGGTGGGGGGGAAGAGGGAGAGAAAGAGAAAAGAAACATCGGTAGCAGTGACTAAGGCTATATTGCCAGACGCGTATCTTCAAACTGTCTGTACGGCGTTGATGAGAGAAAAGTATGACTTCTCCATTTAATCGCGGTGAACACGTGACCGTGGAAGTTGCTTACCAGCTGAGGGAGTGGATTCTGACAATTTGTTTTCATGGATGCAGGGATTTTTTAAGGTCTAGAGATATCAGAGCCCCTCTAGTAGTTTATTCCGTTTTATATGATTGCATTTACTTTATTCACTCTTTTTGTAATTCTTTAGCCTAATCTTTCAGAATCAATTTACTGTCACACATACAAACCTCAGAACAGATCAATCGAATAAAAATCCTTTAAATATAGGCAAAGTGAGAGATCAGAATACAAACACCTGCAAGGCTAGTTAAACCCAAGTGACTTGAAAAGTTGGAGAGGCAGGAACAGGCAAATAATGCATTGTATCTTCCTACTTTATACATAGATAAGAAGCTCACAATGGGTATCAGCTGTCAATCATCATCACTCTCATCATCCCACAGCCCAGACCAAAACTGGCAAAAGGAAATTATTGTCGCTGAACGTTGGCCATCAATTACCACCCACCAGGCCCGTGGCGAGCGGGACTCCGCCGCCTCGTGGCAAATCTTGTTGACCGCGTTCTAGCTGGCTCAGCAGCAGTAGCAGCATCATCATCATCATCTGCGGCGTGGGAAATATTCCTATCATGCCGCGCCCCTGTAACCTCGCGCTCCCTCCCCCTACCAGCATGCCTAGATCTGGCACGGTTCAGAGCCGGGTTCAGCAAATCCTCCGCTTCGTCATCCAATTCCATCTCGACCCTCTGGCTATGGTCTTCGACAATACCGCTGCGGGAAGCTATCCCGGGCTCGGGATTGACGATTTCATTCGTCCATTCTTCTTCAGAGGCAACAACATGCCTCTCTAAGCCACGCGATTTAGTTCGAGTGACTGCTTTGTCCCTGGATTTCTCCTTTCCTTTGCGGGATATGCCCCTTTCCCTGCCGCTGCCGGTTGCGGTTTGTCGGGCTGTAGGTGGAGATGCGTAATCCTGCTGTTCCTGCTCGATTTCCCATATCTCGAGGCCTCTGGAAAGTAACGTTCCCGCCACGCCAGCACCAGCTGCAGCATCACTGCCACTAGCGCCTAGGACACGAACCGCCTCATGTAGTGCAGTAACAGCCTGCATAGTACGTCCTAGCTCAAGTAATACCAGCCCACGGGCCGTATGTAAAGATCCGGTAAGCCCTCTATCCTCATAGCCACCAACGCTGGTAGAGCCCGCGGACACCATCCCACCCGCTCCCGCAGTTGATATAGCTGCTGAATAACCGGTTGCAGACCCACCAGCTCCAATTCGAAGCGATTCATCAAACTCCGCGAGAGCTTCTTCAAAATGACCCAAGCGACGCAGAGCATGACCTAAATTAGCTCTCGTTGCAAGCCATGCTCCCGGATCACAGTTTAGTACCGTCGCTAGCGCCAGGGCTTGGCGAAATAATTCAACAGCTCCCTCAAGCTTGTTTTCGTGGTACAACACCACGCCCAGTTCATTAAGTACAAGCGGATCGCCACCTGAGGGGGAAGAAGGTTGTTCTCGAGATCCTGTTTCGTTAGAAGATAGGAAAGTACTAGATAATGAACCCGATGACATGGAATAGGCGGCTGATAAATATTCGTGGGCGAGAGACATGTTGTTCAGAGCAAGATGCTGCATTCCCAAAAAGAGCTGGGGGAGGTGACTCCCTTGGAATAGTCGTGCCGCAGTGCTGTAAGCTGCAATTGCCTGGTCATGTTCACCCTCCGCAGCAAAAGTGTGAGCAAACCCAATCCATGCTGGAGCTGAATGTGGATCTAGGAGGGAGGCCTTTGAAAAAAAGCGTCGAGCTTCAGAGATTTTACAAACGGACATGTAGTATATACCGATAGCAAGATATGTATATGATTCCTCTGGAACGTTATCGGCCAGAGTATGCGCAAGTAAGAATAGAGCGTTGGTAGCGCCTGTCTCATAAAGACAAGCGAGATGAAGGGGATAAACTGCGGGAGAATGTCCTAGATTATGACCTTGGCTTCCTTGAGAGACGAGCATGGACACGGAATCATCTGAGGAAGAGAGGATGCTGGAAGTAAGGGCCAGTGCCTCGGGGAATCGACATTGCGTATAGAGTGTTTCCGCACGAGAGAGTAGAAGGTCGGGGTTGTCTGCGAGATTGTAATGAGTTGATAACGTTTCAGTGGCGTAGGACAAAGCGGAAGGGGAGGAGTATTTCGATAGGCGAGTCGTATAAAGGAGTTTGGTAAATTCGGCGGCCTCTTGTGATATTGAGGGGTCGGTAAAACATGATATTGAGTCGAAATCGAGGGATTCCAGAAATTCAAGTTCCTCCGCTGGGGACATCAGGGAGTTCTTCATAACCTGGTCAAACGCCTCAAAGCACTGCACATCAATCCGTACAGCATCCTTATAGCAGTCTCTTGCTCGATCAAAGGCATTCTGTCGTGCATAGCATAGACCTCGCAGATAGCACATGGCAGCCTCAAACTTGATATTTTTGGCATCTTCCCGTTCCCTTTCTTCGCTCCTTTCAATGCGGTCCGTTCGAGAAGAAGCGCTTTTCCCATTTCGCAACGTAACATTTGAGTTTCCGTTCAGATGTTGTAGTTTCCGCCGTGTGTTGCTGGAGCTGGTTATCAGATGCGTGGGATTATGATCTCCAAGAATGGCGAGGGCTTGATCGAATTTATTTTGCTTGATATAGCAGTGCGCTGCCAAATATCTACACGACGAACTTCGAGTGATCAAATCCTTCTTCGACAACAACGCCAGTGCTCGAGTGTAATTGTTGTGCGAAAAGTGCACCTGCGCGAGCCAAAAAGCGTCATTGTCGCTATCTAGGAACCAATTAGCTAGTTCAAAATCCAACCTTTAAAAAATATCAACCTAGGGAGCAGCAGCCTCACTTGTAAGGGCGAGCACCTTGTCGCCTATGTAGATAGCTGCATCATGCTGGCCTTTGTTCAGGGCATCCTGCCGCCAGCTGCGGAGATAGGCCTCCATATATTATTGTCTAGCACGGTACACCTCACAACAGGGCTCTCGGATAGCATCGATCCCCTAGGTGAAGTAGTGCAACACGCATAGATCTCTCGGAAATGCCCTCCTACGCAGGGTCTTTTCAGTTCAGAAGTAGAGATGCTGAAGATGTTTCGAGCTGTCGCAAGAAAAGCCGCTGTTTGATGTTTGACGGAGGAAGAAGCAACAGGTATGTGGTCTGTGCGTTTGTTGACATCACCTGGTGAATGGCTTGGCGGTATTGGTACGGTAAGGGCTGTATTTGAATCAATGCCGGCGCCGAAAACTGAGGGTGGCATATACAATTCTGCGGGAAAGATGTAACTATTGCAACCAGTGTGTTTTTTTATTTTAATATCCAGTGCGAGTGCCGTTGGGAGATAGCTGAGATAGAAAGAAATCATCCCATATGTTTTACCCGTACTTCGACCGAACCGAGTTTAATATCACGTGACATATAAAGTATTATACCTTTCGTGGCAACAGAGTCGTTAACTTCAGAACCCTCAGCTTCAACATCTCTCTCTGGCTTTTTTCAACATTCTCAGACATCGCTATATAATCTGTTCATACACGCAAACCCAGCGTCACCTTGCAGATATTCATCTTCTCCGAATCTCTAGCCCACCATGTCGGAACGCAAGGTGCTCACGAAGTACTATCCCCCAGACTTCGACCCGTCTCTTATAACCCGGACGCCCAAACATTTGCGGGCAGCTGGTCCTAGGCTTATGACAGTCCGCTTGATGGCTCCCTTCAGTCTCAAGTGCACAAACTGTGGTGAATATATCTACAAAGGTCGCAAATTTAACGCACGGAAAGAAACAACCGAAGAGAAATACCTCAATATTCCCATCTACCGCTTCTACATCCGCTGCACACGCTGTAGCAGTGAAATTACCTTCAAAACAGACCCCAAGAACATGGATTATACCTGCGAGCGTGGTGCAAAGCGCAACTTTGAGCCCTGGAGAGAAGCTAAAGGGGCTGAAGTGAATGAGACCGTGGATGAGACCTTGGATAGGTTGGAAAGGGAGGAAGGGGAGAAGATGGAGAGAGAGGAACGGGATAAAATGATGGAGCTGGAAGAGAAAATGCAGGATTCCAAGCGCGAGATGGCGGTGGCCGATGCTTTGGATGAGATTAGGACGAGGAATGCAAGGATTGAACGAGAGGAGAGGGAGGGTAAAGAGGAGGCGGCGCTCTTGAGGGCACAGAGGGAGGCCGATGAGGAGAGAATTAAGGCGGAGAGGGAGGACGAAGAGGCAGCAAGACGGGCATTCATGACGGATGATGGAGAGAGAGTGAAGCGGTTGGCCGAGGATGACGAGGGAGGTGCATTTGATGTGGCCACCCCAGCTACCGTCAAGCCGGATATGCTACTTCCGTCTTTTACGAGGGTACGGAAACCGAAGAAACCATTTAATGCGGGTCTTGGGATCAAGAAGAAAGCTCCGTTGGTTTAAAAGTCGATTATTTTGTTCTCGTATCCGAGCATATCCAAGGCGTTTTGCTGTGGTTGGCGAACTTAGGGAAAACACGGAAATACCATGGGCGTTTTTTTAATTTTACTGTCACAATATGTCTTTGTTTTTAATCCCCCAGGAGGCTTGATTACGATGATACATGATAATAATGCAATAAGGAGAAAGAAATGAAATTCAGATTAGATTAAAAATAAGATCGACATAACAAGACGCAAGGAAGACAACTGAACCATCCATAGCCAGTCCGTCACAATGGAACCCCCAACCCCGCAGAACGCCATGCTAAGGAATTTTTACATTATACCCATATACAGCCTGCAGTTCATTCCAGAGTCGTCCGTATTGAGTCACGGTATTAAAACAGAAAGGGGTACAAACAAGAGACGAAAATAAGGAGATACAAAGCACAAAGGATTACGAACTGGAAAATTGCCAACCTCGCAATAAAGCAGCGGACGGGGGGGGGGGGGGGGGGGGGGGGAACACCATTAATACAAGAATGAGAAGGGAAAAAAGGAAATAATAAAAATCCGAGTGCAAACACCTCTCCCATATCACAAATACGGCATCCACAACGCATCGCTTTGCGACAAGTTCTGCGGGTTGACCGCTCTTGAAATAAGATCAATAACAGATTGGTTTGCTGGCAAGTTTCCATCTGGCGGACTCGCAAGACTAACAGCCCTATTGACAATAAAATCACTATTACTCTGCACCATTTCTCGCAGCTGGGTCTCAACCGTCGAACCGCGCTGCGCACCAGACCAGAAGATCATTTCATCACGGACAAATATGCTAAGTTGCTGTTCTAGTTCGTGTCGTGGTTCTGTTAGGCAGCGGGCGATTGCCATGACTGCGCACGCAAAGATGCCCTCGGTCGCCAAGGGGCCCATCAATGTTTGGATGTTTGGTGTAAGGCGGAAAGGTACGTGTTCTGGGTTGAAGAAGAGGGGCTTTGCAGTGTGGATGTTGGGGATCAATTCAGATCCCCAGATGTCTCCTGTGGCACGTGAGACGGATATTTTGTTTGGATACCGGTTGGTCATGTGCATAATATAGGTCATGAAAGCCACTGCAGCGTATTGATAAGAGAATTGGCGGCGGAAGAGCCAGAAATCAGCAAAGTTTGGATATGTTTGCTGGAAAAAGTCCAACAAAATCGTATTGGGAACCCATTTCTCTTGGATAGCTGAAAAGATTTCTGAGCGGAGGATTAATGACTGTTCAGGGGTACGCTGCTTATCACCGTTAGTAAATGGAACAAAGAACATTGATCCAAATTTACTCACGTTTTGTTTCATGTCCGCTAGAGAGCGCATTTTCTCCATCGTAAACAGCACGGGTTCATCTTTGCTCATACCAGTACGTCGGCAGTGGTCTTCATACACACCCTGCAATGAAATATAGGATGGATCATCCTTGACAAGACGAATGTGAGGAGCGAGGGGAACCATTAGGGGAAGATGGAAGTAAATATTTCGTCGTCGACTCTCCTTTCGTTTGGAAAGAATTCCATTGAAAATGCGGAAAAGTTGTAAAATCCGCTCCTCCCGGCGACAGTGGCGGGCAGCAGGATGTTGGACAGCGAAGCAATGTAGGCTACCATCGTGGCCTCGCATCTTCAAACGCCTATGGCAAACACCAATCCCACGCACGAGTTCAACATTAGGCAGGAAGCGATCAATACGGACAAAATCTTGGTTTTTATCTTTGTGCTCGAGATACTGTCCTGGAACTTCGATTTCGTCAAATTTGAGGTATTTGAATTCGCTAAGATGTGGTGAGAACGCTTCCAAGGATTGAGTATGCGGCCGTCGATCAAGCTTTTCTTCAAATTTATCACGCCATCGCCGGAGTTTATGAATGTACTCGTGCATTGTGGGCTTCTTGACAACGAAATCAGCCTCGAATGACTTGCGGATGTGTGCAGGAAGAATCGTCTCTGCAAAGCGGGTGATGTTACCCTCCGTTGCTGGTGGGAGCTTGAAGTCTTGGGCATATGAAGCGGGCATCCGGCCTACATAAGCAAGACCGTCATTAAGAAGCGCAACAATAAGTCTATACGCGTCCTCATCGGGTGGGCATTTGAAATTCTTGTGGATTTGGTCGACCATTGTCTCCATGGAAAGAGCAAGGAGAGGGAACGCGGTCTTTAGCGTAGACATGACATCCTCTGCGAACTCCCAAGATTTCTTCGGAAGCTCCTTTTGTGAGTTATCTGGATCGGATTTTGGTTGTACGGCGTTAGGCACACCAGGCTGTCCAAACTGTCCATGCTGCCCAACTTGTCCGAGCTGTCGGGGTTGTCCAAGCTGTCCGAGCTGCCCATGTTGCCCATGTTGTCCAGGCTGTGCGGGCTGCCCGAGTTGTCCAGGTTGTTGTCCAGGTTGTCCAAGTTGTCCAGGCTGAGGAGGCTGTCTGGGAGATTGGTGTCCTTCTGTACCGTTAGTTGTTGCAGTATCCGTTCCCGACATTCCAGGTTTCATATCTGGAGAGGTCTCCTTGCCGTTAGGGGAAGCTTGTTCTTTGGCGCGATTAAGCCTCTCTTGTTTCTGTTCATGTGTTTTTCGGATAGTATTCAAATCCTCTCGAGACGTTCTTAACAAGAAGAATAGAGACTGCGGGTATAATTTCGCAATCCTGCCAAGAACGGCAGCAGCCAACCTCGCTTCACGGTGAGATAGACTAGTAAGCAGCTGTGGGATGAAGGTAATCCAATACCACACGGGAGTATCACCCTTGAAATTTTCAAAGGCAGAAGCAATCTTCCCTTCCTCGTTGTCCAAACTAAGAAGCCACAAGATGCGACTCAGAAGCTTTCGTGACTTTGGACTCTTGTACAGGCCAGCCGCCTCGAGGTAGCAGCTTACGGCATTGCTTGCAAGTTCCATATCTGTAGGATCCGCTTTGAACCGCTGATCGCTGTATTGTCCCCATTCAGCCCAGGCCTTGGCCAGTCGTAGATCATAATAAAGAGCAACTCCAAAAGCTTCATTAGCTTCTGTAGTATGGTTGAGTTTAGCCAGAAACATGCCCTTCAGAGTATAGAATTCGGCCTTTTGCTGAGCATTAAAGTAGTTCAAATTAGTGTTGTTGATCACATCCAGCCCGCTATTGAGCTCCTTGTGGTTCTGGTAATGGCACTTGGCTTGTTCTCGTAGCTTGAGGAAAGCTTCCTGGATCTCAATATTCGGCAGCGTGTAGATACGGCTAAGCTGGTTGATGCACACTTCGGGCATTTGATGTTTACGTGCAACATGAGCAAACCGATTGATAATCCAAGCGGTCTCGTGGTATCCTCGATAGGCATAGGAATTGCTGGCTACAGTGTTTGACTGAGGTGGGAGCAGGCTAAGATAAGTGGCGTTGATCAATTGGAAAATGTGCTGTCTCCATGTGACTAGATCTTGCCAGGCATTGATATCGTCCCATACATTGGGAAGTCGATCGCGCCAGGTTGCCAATAGCAGTTTCAGTTCCGCTGACTTGGTATCCAGATTCCTTTCATTTGTCTGAGTCAAGCTGCTACAAATAACACTTGCATCGTGGAGTTCAACCAGCTGTTGGAAATTCTGCAGAATCGGAATATGTGCATTGGTAATTCTCTTGGGTAGCTGGTGCCACTTTCGGATCGAAAGTTGGATGGATTCATCACATATATTATTAAAATCCTGCGGGCTTTCTTGCTTCCCATGGAACTTGAGAAGGGACATGAAAGCTTGGAAGAACGTCCGACGAGGGGTCGGAGCATCAGAAACGGACTTGATTAAAGAATCCAACTGATCACGATTGGCCTCCCCCTGCCAATTATCGAGATTTCTCCATGTCGCTTCCAAAAGAAGATCATTAAAGTTCTCATGCTTTGCGAAATCACTCAGGATCTCCCATTGTTGCAGCTTCTGGGCGCAAATCATCCAGTGGTCTTCCCAGAGGAAATACTCTCCCTGTGAGAAAGGGACCGCGCCGGTACGTGCTTTGATCTGGGCTGATTCGTACAGCTGCTGTGCCTTATCCCACATACCTTGCTGTTCATACGATAGCGCAGCATTGGTTTCGACAAACTTACATCGTCTGCGCCAGGTACCATAGAACAGATCATCTTCCTGCAAACCAGCGTAGATCTCAACGAGGGAGTCCAGGTTACTTTCACGGACAACAGGCGTATCGACAAGTGGGCTAATAGCAGACTCTTCAAGAGCACAAGCGGCAATGTACCAAGCATCGTAAGTCCGACTGAGGAATTTCATCACGTGGGGAGGGATCTTAAAGCGCGGTTTAGCTCTGACTACACCTTCAAGAAGAGCTTGAATGACATTTGGCCGCTCATCAATTTGTCCCCGATGATACTCGCGTGTAAGCAACGTAACCATCCCCTTCTCCAAGTCGGATCGTTCCTCACGATTCAGTGTAGACCAGCAAATAGTAAACAGAGTCACCCAGATTCTATACGCAACCTTCGAATCTGCGTGTTGAAGCTGCGAAAGAGGTTCAAGAATATCACGGACCTTAACATCTCCAAGCTCTTGGCAGAATTTCCTATTATCAGCAGCTAACAACTCTAGCTGGCTGTCCACCAGAACTCCATCTTTTCTAGGATCTGTTTCCGAACTTCCAAAGAGAAATGCAGTGGGCGAAACGGTGAAGTCCTCCGGGTGTAGTCGTGCAGGGGTGCTCATATCGATCGAACCAATGACTAACTGGGACGCCTGCGTAAGCCAGAATGAGTCTGCAAGGGTATCCCAGTTCTGCGACGTTAGCACATAGCTGAGTCGAGTATTTGCTGAACGGGTCAGACTTCGGTCGAAAATTGACATGAAACGATTGCGCATTTCAACATCCTGTGCTCGCGTGCCAATCAGGAATGCATGCTCTAGCCGAACAGTTAATTCAGTTCTTGTGATCTTAGGATCCTCGTAGATGCGTATGACCAGCTCCAGGAATTGCTTTAGAGGTTTCTGGTCCGGTCTAGATTCGAACAGGAGCATCTTATGCAGAACGGCTGTTTTCTCCTTTAGTGTTGGCCAAGACTCGGTCGAGTTGAAAATCCAAGACTCTGCCATTCGCAGGATCTTCGTGCAGAGCCGGATGTCATGGGAGCGTTCAACAAGCTGAGCTAACACGCTAAGGAACGGTCTGCGCTGCTCTCCCAAATGGGACATTCTAGAGGCAAGTAGGTCGATAGTCTTTGAAATCAGGTCGACACCAATTTCAAACTCCGCATCCTCAGGTGTAGGGTGCTGTTGCTCTCCAGGCCGCATGTTAGCAAAGGTGTTATTGTTATTATTAGTAGTGTTGGTGTATGCAGCGACGTGATCCTTTGCGAGCTTCAAAGAGAATATTTTCATGATGTGAAGAACATGCTGATCAATCTCTGCGGGTTTGCTCTGTGACAAAGTCCACAAGATGTTAATGGCAGAGACATAATTGCTAGTCGATAACGCTTCCGTAGCAATTGCGGAGAGGTACGTGACAAACTCTGAAGGACAATTATCGACATCCATGGCATCTTCTTCTTCGGGCTGATCATCAGCAGGCATAGCATCAAGGACACGTTTGACGGGTGATGGTAATTGGCGGAGCTCTGTATCATTCATAATTCCATGCAGGCAGTCCTGAATTTCGGGATTCTCCGATCGAAGGGGCTTCTCAAATAACTTTTGCAAAACTGAAACACGACTAACAATCCATTCGTTGGGCTTGTAAGCAATTAAAACCCGAATAACCTGAAGCGTATTCACCATTGCCGTTGCGTGCTTATCGTCAGGCTTGTCAGCTTTATCTCCGGTGAGGATCGGTTCCGTCACTTTCTGATATAAATCGATATCCAGATCACCCCAGTACTCAGGGGAAAGTAGGCCTCTCAGTAAACGCATAGCCTTCTTAACCATCTCTCCATAGAGAATAGGAAGTGCAGGCCGTTGTACGACGATTTTGTCCCGGAACTTAGCAGCAGGGACACGATATCGCTCAGGGAGACCGCAAATAAACGTGACAAGGTACTTGATAAGTGCCGTCCGAAGATCGAGAGGAACAGTGTATTCCGGCCTCTCTCTTGTGACAGGCGGGGCGAGAGCAGTAGACGGTGCTGCTTGTGCCTCCTCGGCTGGTGTTGCTGGTCGGGGTTGAGGTGCGCTAGTTTCACGGACTCGCCTCTCCTCCCATGTCCAAATAAGTGCAATCAAGTTCAGTGCCAGCTTCTTGCTGTCATTTGATGGATTAGGGGGTCCAGCAATTTTAATAAGAGAAGGGACAATAAGGGGTACGAAGTTCTCCCTAGATTCATAGAACAAGTCGGGCTGCCGAACTAGGAAGTGGAAAATGCTCTGAACTTGCTGGAGGTTCGCCGTTTCTTCAGCTAGAATGCGACGGGGCCACCTAGCCCATAGAGGGTACCGCACATCTCCGGAGGAGGTTATTCGCCTGGGGAGCACGGGTGCCAGAATTTCCAAAGCCTGCATCACCAGCGCCTTGCCCTCGTTTTGGTGCGCCCTCAGCAAAGCGACATATATTTGAACGACGATCTTGGACGGCGTCTCGTAGTGGAAGATGAAATAGCTGATGAGGACATAGGCGCCATACTTGTTGATGATGTCCTCTAGGCGGATATAGCTCCATGCAAACTTGATTATATCCTTCCGGGTATCCTGCACAATTGTATGGTGATATTTGATCAGCAGGGCAGAAAGCTGGAGAAGCTCCATCCGTGAATGATCGACGCCTGGCTGGCCAGATTCCTCGCTGATGTCTCCAAGTTGTGGTTTCCACAGCCTATTGTGGATTGCCTCGGTCATGGTTTTATCTACCAATCTGGGGCCCGTGGGAGGCTGGCCCCAAGTGTTCTTCACATCCATTGCGAAAATAGGATTGACCACGTTGTGAAACACGTAAGTTTTCATTCTCTGCGACACGTTGCGCTGACCATACAAGTCCAAACAACGCATGATTAGTGTGCGCCTATAATCAATAGACTCGTTCGTGATTATATGTTCATAGAGGAACTTCGGGAAAGCTAGTGTCATCTTGAGCTCGCGGGCTGATAATCTATTGATGATCTCGAAGAGAAAATCCAAGTCCTGCAGGGAATGTGACAGGTATGACGTGAAGATATCCATAAGTTGATCTTCAGCCTGTTCAACCCTGAGACGCTCATTGAGCGGAAGCTTGTCGGTGCGAAGTTTGTGTTCAAGGTCCCTCCCCGCAATCATGAGGTGTCGCTTAAGGTCCGGGTTGTTCTTCAGCCAACTTTTAGTCGGATCATGGAAACATACAGCGTAGATTGCATATATGGCATTGATTACGGTGGTATTCTTGTTATCAGCATGTTCCTGTCCGAAGGCTATGGAAACCAACGTATCCCCATCCGTCATGATGGTGGACCGTATGGATTCGCTCTCTGGGTTCATTAGTATCTGGCCAAAGAAACGACCGTATCTCTCGTCATGTAGCCGCGCCCGGAAGAAATCCCATGTTTCTTTGGCATATCGGTTAAGATATTTCACGAGAGGTTTTCTGAAGAGGCTATTTGATGTCCGGCGCAATTTTTCTTCCAGAGTCAATACCTTAGCGACCAGTGGCTCCATGAATGCAGTCGCAGCCGAGGGAAGAAGATGGAAAATGTTAAAGATGGCCGCCACGACCTTCATTGGAGGGCTTTGCTCAATAAGTGAGAACGATACACGCTGAAGTATATTATCATCGGCAATACTCTTCATATGTTCTAGCAATCGAGAGCCAATTTCCACCTTAAAATAGTTAGTCAGAAGCGTAAGAAGTCTAGCCAAACCATCAAGACCAGCAACGCTCAGCCGCTTCGGATCCTGCAGATTCATTAGGATGGGCCGGAGGCCGTTCTGAAGCAAGTCCTTCGGCAACTTGTTCGTCTGCGTTAGCACATCGCGCAGGCCCGAGTTTGCGGCCTCGATAATCTCCGGCGAACGAGAGTAGAGGGATTTGAAAAACACAGCAATGACACGGGCACGTCCCGTATTCAGCGGACCACTTGCAAACTCCGGAAAACTCATGGCCATAGACAATAAGCGAAGGCAGGAGACTCGTAGATTCACGATTTGTTCCGCAGTTTTAAATTCATTCGGTTTCGATGCAAGAGCCTCGTCCTCACTGTCCACCAGTGCAAGTGATTCCATCAACAGTCGATTCAGTTGGTCGTTGAAGGTTACGATACCATGATGCAATCCGAGGCAGAAAGTAATCGCGTCAATAAAACCAATCTCCGTGGGAAACGAAAGAGCACGCAATGGCTTATTGAAAATAGGCTGAAGAAGCCTGTCCTTGACGGGAGCGAGGAGTTCATGTTTTTCCGCACCAACAGCCTGCGCAATAGTTTCAAAAGCCTGCTGAGAAGTTTCGCGAACGTGTTTGCTCATATGAGAAAGCTCATAACTGAAAATCCCGCAAAGGTGAAAGAGCCTGCTCTTCTCATTCTTCAAATCGTCCTTGGATGCACCAGTGTTACATCTTCGCAGAATGAGATCAAGCGTATCTCGAGCTCGTATCCTCGTGCTAGCCGGCAAATCCGTTGGTGTATCTTTAATAACGTACATCAGAGCTCTAATGAATTCCACTTGACGATCTGCTAACCAGGGAGTCCCAAGATCAAGATCCTTCACAAATACCTGGATCCCCATACTTCCACCAGCCTTGGTAAACCACTCCTCCTCGTGGCAGTTGTGGCAGAATACTCGCGCAAGGTGGGAGAAGAAGGACAATTTGCCGACTTTATCAGGCGACCCGAAGATGACGGCAGCTGCATCGCGGACAGCAAGCATCGCGAATTTAGCCGCATCACGGACATTAGCATTATCTGATGAAAAACATTCCACCAGAGCGTCTGCAAGCACTCGAGTATCCAGATACATAGGCCCTTCGCCTGAATTAACATTGAACGGCCGCCTCGCATGCCGGGCTTGTGCAAGAGATCGACCAATCTCAATTATGGTGAAATGGCGGCAAACGTCCACGACGAACGCAGTTGCAGCCTGCTTCAGGTCCGGAATTGTTGTCGCGACAATACATGCCTTCAGCAACTTCTTCAACAGCTCTTCTTGGGCCGACTTCTTCGGAATCGAGCCACTTCGTTCGGATTTCTCTAGGATATCCGGGCCAATGGTCAGTCTGCCTTCGGCCAAGTCATTTGCTTGCAGCCGCACCAGCGTAGCCAGATCTTCCAGCGGATGCTCGAGGCCTATGTAAAGCTTGAGCTGGGAACTCAACATATGGAATGCCTGCTGTTTGTAGAAGGCATCGGAAGCTTTGGCAACGGGCGTCCTTGGTGTTTCAAGCAACTTCCCCAGCGCTAAATCAACACCAATATCCAGTGGGAATGCGCGTTCTTTATTTGCACCGATAAGTTTAATGTCTATGCTGGGGATATCATCGGCATACGCTTGAAACGACAAATCCGGTGGGTGGTTGAGAAATTTCCGATTCCGGCCACCTAATTTACCAAGGATACGCATAGTGGTATGTGCATGGAAATGGCTATACGGGTTTGGACGGAGATGGTCCCAAAGAGCAGCCATGAGTTCATCCACGATGGGTGCCATGATAGGGTCCAAATAGGCGGCAGTCAAGTTATCAACGCAAAGTTCGAGCGTTCGGAGGCCCTGGGCGACGAGTTCGGAGCCAGCTCGGAGAGCAACAACTATGGGCCGCATGAGGTGACTTAGATGGGGGAGAAGGTGGCTGAGACGGGCCGGAACAGTCAAAGTAAGTTCGACATAGAGGTCGCGTTCTTGGGGTTTCCGGGCACTCAGAAGGAGGTTATTAAAGGTCTCCAGGAGCATCTCAAGCAGTGGTAGGATTTCCTTGTATAGAAGCTCAAATCGACCTCCACCGATACTACGGAACAGAGAGCGGAGAAGGAGGAAATAATTCATCGGTTCCTCGGCGGTCACGGAAAGTTCAATGCATTTCGTAACAATTTTAGTGAGATGGGGGTGCAAGACCTGTTCGTTTTGGGAGGAAAAGAGCGTAACGGCCATGAAAGATAGCTTGAACATCCTCAACAGTATCCTTGACTTGGACACATTTGATGTCCCCACTTCATGAATCCGATCCATGAGATACTGAAGTACCATCCCTGCAAAGGCGGGAGATGTCGCCTCGCTAGCTAAGAAAAACTGAGGCAAGTGTAGTAGCGAGGAATGATCAAACATAAGTTCATGCAGATAAGGAATTTCCGTATCGAAAACTTCATGGAATGTGGCCGTGTCGATGCAATGAAAAATCGTGCCAAAGGTTTCCAGAAGTTCTTTCTCCTCCTTTCCCATCTGTTGCATATACTGGCTGGCAAGGAACTCAAGGGGCGATGAGTATTGCACCTCAGGTTCCGGCTGATCGATACCATAATATTTGAACACCTTGGCTCCCTCATGAAACAGTTTCTTAATCACAGCAACCTCCTCCGCTTTATACCCAAATGAAACCTCAGGCCAATTAGGCGGGACAATAGATGGGTCGACGCTGATGTGGTCCGGATTACACACCTTCAGTGTGTAAAATAAACTCTTAAGACCCTTGACAAGATTGCTAAATAAGAATTTATTATCTGCCACAGGGTCCCCATTGCGCTCCCGGGGGTTTGACGTCTTAATCGGGGCTGCGGAGAAAATATCTATTTCATCCCAGTCCGGCGGGTTAATGGGGTCAGCTAGATACGATTCCTTAGCGTTGTCTGGTTGTGACTTCGTAGAGCGGGTTATCTTCACCGCATTGTCAAACTGGTGGTTCATAGCTGCGAATTTATCCCCTATCGCATCAAGAATCATGACCAGGAAATACCTCGCATCCTGCTTGTCTGGAAGTTTTGCTATCCGCTCAGCCATATTCAACAACAGTTTGGCACTCATAGTTTGAAAACTGGTCCCTGGAAAATCATCATGAAGGTTCTTCGTATACACCTGCACTGTCCGACGAATCTGATCACGATTGAGGGACTCGCGAACATGATGGATGAGATCTGCAAGCATGCTGTATGCTAGAGGTCGCATCGCCTCGTAGACAGTAAGGCCATCACCAATCAACGTCCGCTCATCCAGCAGCTCATCAATCTTGTCCAGGAAGATCTTCCTGTAATTAAAGTTAATGATATGGCGTATGGCAACAAGTAATTCTTTCCTCGAGCTAGACTTCTCCCGCGGACAATCTTGCAAAAGCCGCACAACGACACCTGGAAGAGACGGGAGGAAATCCTGCAACTGATTCGCGTACATGCGAAGAAGATAGGCAAGAAAACTCATCGTCTTCACCTGCGCAGTGATAAACTCACCAAAGGCCGCTCTGTTCTTTATCTCCTTACACACGCCTGTGAAAATTTTACCCTGGGCCGCAGCCTCTGCATGTGCCTTTTCCTGAGGTCTGGCCTGCAGAAGCAGGATTCCCTTAATAAGTGGCACAAATATTTTAACACTAGCAGAAACGACGCTACGATGTGCTTGGAATATTGAAACGACGATAATGGGGCATTCCGCTAGGACTTTGAAGGACTGCATTCCTCTCAAAAGCTGCTGGTTAGACTGCTGGTCAGGACCAAGTTCGGATACTGAGGTAGCGGGGGAGCTAGGTCGCGGGGACTGGAAGTTCTGTGCAGTATTGCTGGGTGTCGATGGCATGTGAGGAGTACCCAGAGCGGGACTATCAAAGGTATCTCGCACAACCTGCTCCATCATCTCAAAGAGCTCCTGAATAAGCTCCAGGAATGGCCTGACTCTGGTCTGTGTAGCTTTGGCCTGCCGCCGTTCCAGGTCCATGATCGTTTTCATACAGAGGACGGCGTTATCCTCGTTCTCGATTCGAACAAGCTCCAGCAAGAGATCCACCATTTCACCAGCGTAGGGTTCGACATCGGGGAGGTCTAGAGGGAGCCGGTGGAGGATCTCCAGAATGCAATTGCGCAATTTCTAATCGATTTAACAGAGAGGAAATTTCAGCCTGAGCAAAGCAAGCGACAGACAAAGCAAATAATAGATACCAAGCATATCATATATACATATTGTTTTTTCCCCTCTTCGTATGTTCTGAATATAGCCTTACCTGGTCAAAGGACAGACTGACAAAGACAGGTTCGCCCTTGAGTATCTTCTTGAACACCGGCCACAACTTTGACAAGAAGACGGGGTAATTTGGGCCAGAACACAGCTGCTCTAGCGAGTCGCGAAGCTCAATCGCGATATTCGATCTGACCTTGGGTTCTAGCATGAATGGAGAAAGCGGTTAGTGTAATGTAGCAGAGCAAAGTGGACCAATTCAGCAGCCAGCCAGCCAGCCAGCCAGACAAAGACAGAGGGGCACATCTGCCATACGGAGACATCGCAAATGTTCGAAAGAAAAGAAAAGGCATAGTACACACCAATCCCCAAATCCGCCAGCTTCGTAGCATAAACATCGATATTCCGCTCCATAGACGTGATTCCGCTGGGTGAGCCCGCCATGGTTGCCGATGAACACGACGCAGGCAGAGCTTTATCTAAGCTTGTACGGAGAGGGATAGAAGCGCCAGGCCCTGCGGCCGGCTTAGCAGTATTATATCACCCCCAAGATTCCCAGGGCGGAACAAAGTGCATTCGGAGGGGATGAAAGAGAGTGTGTTTATGTGTTGCTATTACGTGTTGGGGAGAGAAACGCTGGTGTTTTAATTCGGCGAGGAAGTAGGCGCACGGGAGAACGAATGGGTCATTGGCATATGGTTCGCAAATGTCAATTGGAGGCTACGTAGCGCTAGAAGGTCGTGAGTCGTAAATCACGGTGGGGAGGGAGGGAAGGATTGTGATGTTGGTGGAGAAGGGAACGGAGGAGGAGGGAGGTGGAGGTTGTGGTGGTGAAGGAGATAGAGAGCTGTTGCGGGCGGAGAGGAACGAAAGTGATGCAGACGAGCAAAAAGTTCTGGGGAGGGCACTTGACCCCGTGCAATTCACTAAGCCAAAAGGGGACTAGTGAAACAAGGTACAGGGCGCTAGTCGCGGCTGGATAAATGTAATCCCGTGTTGGCGGGCGTTTATTGGGAGACAGTGAATGAACGCTGACTCAGCAAGTTGGAAGGCAGGCATCAAACACCCAACAGGTTAATACAACGAGAGAGGAAGAGTTTGGAAAATTAGCCTTGCAGTTTGAAGAATTCCACAGGCGGAGATGTGAATAGCTATTTGCGAAAAGAAATGAACAAGCTAGAACAAGTAGTTAACAATAGGTATATATAAAATATATATTAGAGGGAAGAAGTGGTCTTGTTGGATATATTAGATACTAGGCCAAAAGAACAAAAAGCAAGCAAGCATAGATGAAAGGAGGAGGAAAACGCCATTTCACACCAAATTATTTTTTTTTTCCCCTCTTATTTCCCGGACATGCAAGTTCTAATAAAGAAGTCCAAGCTTGAGGGCGGGGAAATTATATAAAGAAATGAGAGCGGAAGCGGAATTGAAAAAGAAAGGCAAGTAACAACAAACCTTTAAATCCTGCTGCAACTAAGGTAAGATAGACTAGAGCAGAAGAACGATAAAAGAAGTAAGGAGAAGAAAGAAAAGGGTTTGTGAGAAGCAGAGATCAAAATTTCCATGTACACAAAAACCAAACCAAGGGTGATTTCATCCGTCACATGGTGCGAAGTGAGAGATGAAGCAAACGCGTAGAGAACTCAAGACAAAAAGAAGTGCAAGGAAGAGATGAAAATAAGAAAATAGATAATAAACGCCGTATCAAGAATATGGGGATTTAAAATCATCAATGGCAAGAAAAAAGGGCATAAATCAAAAAATATCCCAGCATCATTTGCATCACGCGGCTGATCTGTTATGCCTGTCATCATTGCAAGGTTTTCTGAAGAAAGGTAGCGTTGCGCCAACAAAACGAAACGGGGATGGCAATGGGACAAAAAATAGTAAAAAGAAAAAAGAAAAAAAAATAAGCAGGAACGGGAATCAAAAAAGAGAAAAAATCCGAATCACACAACCCGCGAAACATTACTTATCGGATTGCTCTGTGACACCGCAGGCGTCGCTGCCGCAGCAGGCCTGCAGTCTCCTCCCCCTACCAACTTCCATTCAGCTAAATCTCTCTGGTCTCTTTCCGCAAGCTTCCTCCCCTCGCCGTTGTTGTTGCCAGACCCTCCATCACCCCTCCACGAACGATAATCATCGAAAGATCCATGCTGGCGCCTCTGAATCAACCGTTCAGCGCAACGTTAGAATCATCTAGCTGCAGAATAAGATTATATGAGACGTGACACTCTCTTTTCATAGTTGGGAGTTGATTGACAAGGAATAGAGGATTTGGAGAATGGAGAGGAAAGAGAGGAAGACAGAAACAAGGGTATGGAGCATGGGAAATAGGTACCATTGCGATCAGAAAGAAATGAAGAAAAACTACGGTAGATAACAAGTGATCGGATCGGATTCTTGATTCGAAAATAACAAATCTGCAAGAAACTCTTCTGTGGGATAGGAAAGGAAAAAAGAAAATTACAAATCAAAAATCGATCAGCTCGCAAGAACACTAACCGAATTCTGCCCCTCGTGTTCCCGTAACCTCCGCTCCTTATTCGCATTAGACTCATCCTGCAGCTTGAGAGCATTAAGCCTCTGCTGGCTATCATGTGTAGCCGTGTCCATATCATCTACGTGAGACGATTGTCCTTGTTCCTCAGAAGAGGATGTATGAGCCAGCGAAGACGTCCCTGCGGTGCTCTGTCTAGATTGTGCTAGCTGCTGCAGCCTGTCCCATTTGCTCTGGCGGTTCTTCTCCCGGGCTTCTGCTGTGGATTGAAGCTCTGTATAGTCATGGGAGCAGTCGTCGAATAATTGAGGACTGATTTCCATAAATAGCTTCATCGCGTTGTAGACCATGGAATGGATAGTTCTGTGATGAGGGTTAAGTATAAAGGCGAGTAAAATTGGTTTTGGTTGTGGGTAGATCTCACCTGTTCCAATGGCCTTTTGAATTTTCGTAGAGGGGCGCAAACATAATAGGGAGAATAGTTTCTACATTATCCGTTACAAGATTGCAGAAGTATTCATTGTTCCAAAAGTATAATGCTCGTTCGGCCACCTGAAGACATGTGTTAACGACACGAGGACCGTATAAGTTCATCACGAGCAAGAGGAAAAAGGAGCACACCTGGAAATGAGGGCTAGCAACCGATTTTGCCAATTGGTTAAAAAGAGGTTCCTGGACTTTTGCGAATTCCGCAGGGTCCATGACTTCGAAGATATCCTCGACTTCATTCAAAAACATGACCTCTTTCGTGCTATTTACTTTGGGCCAGTACCGAAGCAGCCCCAGGACAACCTAGGCAGACGTTAATTGTGGCCAAAAGGAGGAACGGTAACAGGGGAGGGGAGGAAGGATCAGTACCTCTTCAGTAAGAGATGAATCCTTTTCTAGGAACTGGACTATGCAATAGGCCAACTGAGGGTGGTACATGCTTAGACTCTTCACCTTGTGGAGGGGAATCAAAACACGCGTTAAGAAGAGCTTGTGCTCCTCCTTGAGCGGGAGGGCAAAGCCATTAATTATAGATCCAAGAATCTCGAGCAGCTCTGCTACTCCATTAAAGCGTTCCGTCTCGTACATAAACTGGAAAAAAACATTGTTGATCGACCGTCGAATGTATGAGCGTAGGTTAAGGAATTTACCGTAGATACGGTGGAGTGTGGTTTTCAGGAAGTCTCGTTCGCGTGGGTCTTCGGAATCAAAGAGTTCCAGTAACTTCACAGAGAGTTAGCAGTTGTTGAGTAAGAGAAGTCGAATTTCGGAAGGGTGGAATGGAATAGACAAAACGAAACATACTTGTAGAACGAACTGGTGGTCAATATACGCTTTCGCTATGTTGGTATTGAAATCTTGGCTCTCGATGAACCTCAAGAAAAATTCATAAACCACCTGGATATGAGGCCACGCAACTTCAAGAACAGGTTCATCCTCTTCTGGGTCAAACGCGTCTCCTTGTGGGTTCACTGGCGGGGGAATAGGACGAAATAGGTTTTTGGCAAACATATCCACCACTCGCGGGTACATGGGGTCAGTGATGACGGATCTGTTATTGGCAACGTAGTCTAATAGTTCATGCAGGGCCAGTCGCTTGATTTCTTTGGATTTCATATCGCCTGTTGGGTCGTTGAAGTCGAATATGATATTGCACTGGTCGATCTTTTGCATGAACAAATCCTGGCGCCGGTTCGGAGGAACTTCGTGAAAGCCAGGCAGTTTTTCCAATTCTCTCTGGCGCTGGTCCGATACATCAAACCTCGACGAGTGTTGACGTTTTGGCGTCCTAATGCCCTCCGGAACATCCTTGGGTGTTGTTTGTAATCGGTCGAATACATGGGATTTTGCGCCAGCTTTAGGTGGCTGAAGATCGCCAGGCATAGTTTCTGCAGCACCAGGTGGAGGGATGTGCTAATTGATGCATTTACGTCAGTATTCAGTTATACATGTCATCGTAGAACACGAGAAAGGCAAAAGGAAAATACGGAAGGTGAAGACGCTTGGCTAGGATATAACAAGATTGCTTTTGGAACATACCGGTGCACTGGGGCTAATGATTACGCTTGGTGCAAGTGGCTGCAGCTGTCTAATTGGTGTTCCAGGACCATTCCCGGGCATCTGACCCGTATGTGCTCCTCCCATATTTTGACCATGGGGCATAAAATGATGCGCGCTTTGGGGAGGTGCCGTCGGACCTGGAGCATTATGATGAATAGCGCCGACTGGGGCCCCGCCAGATTCCCCCTGCATTCCAGGCTTCCCCTTAATATCGTTCACCGTGGTGGTCGACGATGTAGGTGTGCCATGATTGGAATTCGCCGGGGAATGGCCGGGGCCTGACGAACTAGAGAGTGTGTTCTGCCCTGGAGAGGGCGTTCCGGACGACGAATCCTTCTTCTTGGAAGATTTGTTTGAATCTTTTGCACGGGACAGCTGTTCGTGCTGGAGCGGTCAATCAATGCCGTGTCCGCCTGGCACTCCAACAAAAAATAAAAAATGAAAAAAATAGAAAAAAAAAAAAAAAAAAAATTAAGTCCAAAGACGGAGGAACTGTATGCTTCCGACAAAAAACATAGCTCCTAGGGGAGATGGTGATGGTTGAGGACTTACAACTCTCTGCCTAAAACCCTTCATGGTAACTATCGGGTTGTCGAACACATGTACAAGATCCAAGAAGTTTCAGCCAATCGACCACGATTATCCGACAACAGGCGGATTGTCGTGACCAGTAGCTGTGGGTATTTGAGGAAGCGAAAGGGTGAAATGAGCGGTTTTTTTTTTATATAATCTAGGCGCACGATGTAGAAATGAGTTCTCTAGCTCGGATCAGAGGGTGGAGAGTGGGGAACCGAAGCACGCGGATAAATCGGTCAAGGATGGCATTCATCACAACACGCAGTCGAGGCGAAACAGTTATCACATTGGTGGGATAAAGTGAAAGGAGGGTAGACGAGATATATGATCTATCTCGAGTGGGAGGGGGTAAAAGGAGAGTTATATAAAGGGAGTGGAAGAGAGTTGACCAGTCTCTCTCTGGTCGACAGTGAGCATCGGTTGGCGGAGCGGCACTCTCTATGCAGCGAATGACACAGAGCCGGGGATTCAAGGGTTTTCAAAACCGGGAGAGGTTATCGAGCCCAGGTCCCCGTAACAGTCACGTACCTCAACACCCAAACAAGCCAGAACGATAGGAGCTTGATTGGCTCAGGGAATAAGGGGAGGCTGCTGCTGCGCGATATCTAGTTAAAAAGGACCGT